ACTCGTCAGCACCGTCAAAGTATGAAGATTCGATGATGGGCTCCCAAGAAGTCATGGACCACTTGTCCTTGAGACCTGAGAAGTTGTCTGTAGCTGCAGCGTCCGCGGGCCAGAAAGCTGGTCGCTTCTGACCACGGTCATCTTCAAGCTCCATGTTGCGTGTTGTGTCGTTAGTGTTGGCGAACTGCTTGAACTTGGCAGCGATGGCAGGGCTCTTGATAGCTTCGGCCCACTCGTCGAAGAAGCTGTCAACAAGTTCTTCCATTTGCGCCTCGAGTGAGGCGTTGATGCCGAGCTTGTCCTCGAGGATGACCTCTTGCAGGTACTTGATACCGCCGGGAAGGTTCTCGACCCATCGAGCTGTTCGCTGAAGCTTGTCGGCTGTGCGCATGTAGAACATGAGATATCGATCGAGGATTGTCACAACATCAGCTGGGGGCACATCCTTGGCTAGAAGCTCGGCGTGGCGAGGGTTCGCACCACCGTTACCGCCAACGAAGATGTTCCAGCCCTTCTCAGTGGCAATCAAACCGAAACTGAATCCATGTTAGCGAACTGAAGAATTGACAGATGGGGTTGGTACATACTCTTTGCCTTGAGCTTCAGCACATTCTCGCACACAACCACTCACACCACCCTTGATCTTGTGAGGAGCTCGAATACTCTTGTATCGCTCCTCCAGACGAACAGCCATGCCAACACTATCACTCAGACCGTATCGACACCATGTGGAACCTACACAACTCTTGACGGTTCGCAGAGACTTAGCATAGGCATGACCAGACTCCATACCACCAGCAACAAGCTGGCCCCAGATGTCGAGAAGGTCCTGCTTCTGGGCACCAAACAAATCGATACGCTGACCACCTGTGATCTTGGTGTAGAGGTTGTACTTCTGGGCAACCTCGCCAATGACCACAAGCTTGTCAGGGGTAATCTCACCACCGGATACACGAGGGACAACAGAGTAGGTACCGTCTCGCTGGATGTTACCCAAGAAGCGATCGTTGGTCTCCTGGAGACCGTGGGTGGTCTTGTCCATAACGTGTCTGTTCCATAGCGAAGCCATGATACTGGCTACCACAGGCTTGCACAGCTCGCAGCCAAGAGCCTCCTTGTCGTTTCCAGCCTCGCGCATCACCTCACCCATGTTCTTGAGGCGCTTGACCATGACGATGTTGAACAGGTCAGCGCGAGAGTGGTTGAAGTGCGAGCAGACGTAGTTGGTCACCTCCTGGCCCATAGATGCCATTGTCTTGTTGAAAATGGTGGTGATGAGAGGAACACAACCTCCGCAGCCGGTGCCGGCCTTTGTGCACTTCTTGATACTGGCAATATCCTTGCAAGTTCCATCCTTGACAACCTTGACAATGTCGCCCTTTGTGACGTTGTGACACGAGCACACCTGAGCATCATCGTCGAGATCATCGGTATCTTCGCCGCCGTCCTTCTTGACACCGAGAATAAGTTCACTAGGAGAAATCTCAAGCTCCTTCTGCGCCTTGACCATTGGTAGAAGCTTGACGTAGTCGCAGACGTCGCCAATCATCATGCCACCGAGGAGATACTTTCCATCCTTAGTAAAGATGTACTTCTTGTACACATTCGAGAAGGGGTCTTTGTATGTGAGAGCTTGCACAGCCTTGGGCTCCTTAGCGTCGCCATTGACGAGTGTCCTGGCGTACTTGGGAGGAAGCGTTACGGGACCGTCGCGATCAGCGAAGCAGTCACCGAAACTAGCGACGTTGACTCCCAGGAGCTTGAGTTTTGTGCTCATGTCGGGAGTCTTGAAGGTCTGGGGGCTGTGAAGCTTGGCTTGTGTGAGGTTGAAAGCGACGACTTCGGCCATGGCTACGCCAGGAGCGATAAGACCGTAAGCCATACCGCGCCAGCTGGCGCACTCTCCAATAGCGTAGATATCGGGCATACTCGTTCTCAAGTCGTCGTTAACGACGATACCACCGCGCTGACCAACTTCGAGGTTGGCGCTTCTGGCGAGGTCATCTCTTGGCTTCACACCAACAGCGAAGCACAGTGTTGAGCAGCTGATCTCCGAGCCATCGTCAAGGATAATTCCAGTGAGGTTGTTGTTCTCGTCAGTCTTCATGCTTGACACGCCTTTGCCGAGATTGAGGTTCACACCAAGCTGGGAGACCTGGTCCGCTACCATTTTGCCACCCGTCTCGTCGACCTGTCTTGTGAGAACCCACTGACCCTTCTCAATAACGTCGACTCTGTTGAAGGTCTCAAGATCAAGCATGGCCTTTGCGGCCTCAAGACCAAGAAGACCGCCACCAACGACAGCTCCATTGGTGCCCTTCTTATCGTTGGAGAACTTGATAAGCCTGTTCAAGTCTTCTATTGTGCGGTAGACGAAGACACCATTTGCGTCCCAACCCTTGAGCATACGGGGAAGAATAGCGTCTGAGCCGGTGGCGAGGACGAGGATGTCGTAGGGGTAACTTTCGCCGTTTGCGCATTCGATGAATTTATCCTCGGTGTTGATGTGTGTGGCTTTTGTGTTGATGTGACAGTTTAATGAGCTTCCAGCTTCTGTGTACTGTAGGATGTTAGTGCTTGGATTGCGGTTTTGGTACAGATTTAGCATACCCATTCTGCTGGGTTCATGTAAAGCTCTTCGACCTTTCGGTGCTCGAAGAATGTAGTGAGTCCTACTCGGTTGTAGGCGAGATATGGTTCTTCTCCAACCACTGTGACTGCATATTCTTTTGATTTGGCATCATATTTGAGCAGCTTTTCTCTGTATTACTGTCAGAACATGGTAAGCAAGTAAATAGTGCAAATGGACTTACATGAAAGCAATGCCGACCATGCCCAGGCCAACGACCACCACACGTTTTTGTGTTGTTGCAGCCATTTTGATAAGTCAATATTAAAACAAGTATACTTGGGAAAGGAACCCAAAAGATGGAAGGGATATCATGGCCTCTCATGGTTATAAGTGATTCTCAGAGCCTGTTACAAAAAGAGGGTCGGTCTTCTGTACCTCAAGACCGCAAACTACCTATGGATCCCCCTCTGATGTTTTTTCCCATCTCCCTCCCTATCTAGAACGTACATCTCCGGGATAGTACAACTCGTGCTAAGCATTTCCGCTGTGAGCGCATTTGCACTGCAACTCTCGGCAGGGCTGATCTCTGATAAGGAGACTGCGCGCCGTGGCTGGGGGACCAATCAGGGACTGCGCCCGCACGGTAGAGGCGTTTTGGCCTCCGCGGAGAAGCAGTATTCTCACCAAGCGGTCGTACGTCGGAACACACCACGACAGAGCATGATATGAGGTCTCGAGGCGATTCTCATATTAAATTGTATCCGGTTTCTGGCGAAATATCATGCTCCAACTCATAGTTTCACCGTACGCTGCTGTCAAGTCTTTTGTGGGTTGTTGACTGATCCGACTCTCGGTGAAGGATGAAGCCATCTCGAATGTCGCCTAATTCAGTGTAGAATGGTCACTACTCTTTCTTGGCCTTATCTCGAGAATGCCCTCAGGTCCTGAAAAGGGAATGGTATTGTTCTAGAGCCGCTCAATCAAAATCCTCACTCAAGGCCGGATAATAGATTTCCTCGAGCTATTTTTGTGTCTTGTATCGATCGGGAATATTCACTACCTTGACTACTAAGTTAGTTCCCGTATCAACCTTTCTCCTCGGAGTGAGTCTCCTTATCAATGCCGGCATAGATAAGCCTCAATATTAACCTCTTCTGCTTTGCAACACAGCGACTCTAACTGGGTCATACCTACAGTTCCCCCACAAAGATAACACCACGGCTCAATGTCGCGGAGATTCAATTGTCAAGCATTCTCCACGGAATAGTCAACAGCAATACGTAGCGACTATGGGGGACAAGTCCGTCATGTGGAGTCTCGGGGAGGAATCTCTTCTCTGAGGCGAAGATGTCGTACGAATGGACATGATGTGATTTCAAACACGAATTCGCGCTTTGTTCTGGTACAGACTAAAAGACTTTTATTTACTTCGTAGATCTTCATCCCATGGTTCGATAAGGTACATAGCAAGGGTAACAAGAAATGGGATACTAACTAAAGCCTCAAGGCCTAGAATTGCTCTGCATTGCCGTCAACGGCTTTGGCCGATCAACCTATCACACGTGTTTATCCTGACGGGTACCTTAGCTGTAGAGCCCCTCCCACGTCATCGTCTCAGCTCCTCCAATCTTCAACACCACACAAACATCACCAACTTACCTCAGGTAGCTAGACAATGGCGACTACCACCGAACCTTCCTTCACATTCCCCCGAGAATACCATTTCCCCGCCTTCTTCACTCGCCAAACTAATCTCACTACACTCCATGCCCAGCGCAACAAATGGTCCGATCTCATTCTCGCCTACGCGCGACATAACCGTATCTTCCGTCTATCGCTTTCCGAAGCAGCAGATTCAGACCTCTTTGTAAACCGAAAACTCGATCGGAGGCTACAATTCGATGACATCCGTGATGTGATTTCTTTTATGCACACAGATGGACGTGTAGAATACGTCGGAGGCAAAACAACAGGGGATGTTGTGTTTCTATATTGGCGAAAGCCCGAGGAGTGGGCGGAGCTTGTAGAGAACTACGTCGAAGAGACGGGACAAAAGGGCAGTGTTCTTACAATCTATGAACTTGTCGAGGGAGATGGTACAAAAGGAAATGGTAATTTCAGTCAGGCAAGCCAATATGTCAAAGACCCTATAGCTGATCCTCACAGATATTCACGGCATGGACACTGATGTCCTTCTAAAAGCTCTGAACATCCTCGTCAAACGAAACAAAGCTCAAATATTCGGCCAGGACGACTCATTAGGCGTCAAGTTCTTCTAAGTACTGGACCATACATACTCATCTCTACATAAAGCACATGCGACTTTTCCATCACAGCACGCGCACCAATATAAACCGACTGCGGACTCCAACATCGCTGCCGATGTTAAACCATCCTGAACGCCATCACGCAACAGTCAGAGAAAGGACTACTGCGAATTTCCGTAAAAGTTCTCCGCCAAAAACTTGTCATCAAACCGCACCTGTTGAGCCATTGCGACATCGAGCAACCAGTCAGGTGCAACAATGCGAGGCTCCATGTTGCCGTTGTACGCCATGTCACGGAATTTCTCCCAAAGCGGTCTCTCGTCGGGTCGTCCGCTACTTAATAGGTAGACCGGCTCGGGTGGCGCGTTACCCTCTTCCTCTGCCGTTGTTGGTCGGATTGTCGTCCCACTCCGAGCCCGATAGATCTTGAAGATCGCCCCGTTGGCCTCGGCGATCGTTTTGTAGCTCTCCGCACCATTGCGGATCTTTTCCGTGCAATAGATGGGAACACCAACAAGAAGTTTGCCTCTATTTGCCTTGGCACGAGCCACTGATGTCTCAAGGACAATGTTGTGCCGTTTCTCAGCTGCATTGTCTTTGAGAATGAAATCCTCAACATCGAGAAGGGTGCCCCTGTCTAAAGACTGGTCAATGAAAGTTGACGAGATCACTGTTGGGCCGCGTGCAAGCGCGCATAAAAATTTGACAGTACGGACAACACTAGGGGCTGCCAAATAGTCGCACGGCTGACCCTCTTGCACAATCTGTATGCCCATGTCCCGAAGCTTTCTCTGTCATCTGGTTAGAATAGATTCAAACAAATGGCTGGCGCTCACGTACTCGATCCTGATCTTCCTTGTTCTTGTCTCCAACCCAGCGAGTGAATCCAGTCAAGACAACACGCATCTGAATGTCTGGAAGTGACGGCTTGGTCTTTTTGGTTGGCCGCTTCGATAATGTGTCGGCATCTTCATCTTCGGGCTTCTCCTCAGGTTTGGTTTTGGTGTTAGTCTTTTCGGCCTGGTCGGCAGCTCGCTTTCCACCCCAGATTGTATTGCCTCCCTTGGCATGCCTCTTCTTCTCCTTTTCGTAAAGCGCAATGTCGTCGCTCAAGCCATGCAGACGTTCCTGGGCTTTCGCTTTGGCGCTACGACTTCCTGTGGAAGCCACCGACGGCGTCTCGTTCTCCTTCCCAGTACGGCGCGGGCGAATTGGAGTTGCATCTCCAATGACTCTGGTCTTCTTTGTGGACTTCTCGCTTTCTCCTCCGTTAGAGTCTTCCATCTCGACGTCCCCTTTACCAGGCTGGCCAATAACAACGCCCTCTGCTGGCCCTCGTGCATATGCGTTCTCCTCTGCAGCTTCCAGGATTGCTCGCTTCCTCTTGGCTCGTGGTGAGAGCTTGGCCGGCCCCCCAGGGTAGTACTTTTCGCGCAACTTTGGTTCATCAAAGAACGTTTGCCCGATAATCTCGCCCAGGTTAGTGCGCGGAGGGAAATGATTATACTTCTTGATATTGATGGGTGTAATTTCGCACTTGGCATAGCTCTCCTCGATCCAGAGATGGTTGACGACGGCAATCCCCCATTCAGGGGCAGCCTTGCATTTCTCGCTAGAGTCTCTCGCAGTGATTAAATGCGTATTCTCGGCTCTCATCGTTCTGGTGAACTCGGCTCCAGAAGCTTTGATCAGGTTCTCCAGGTAAATTCGTGCTTCACCACCGTAATTTGATACTGTGATACGTAGACCCTTGAATCCTTCTATACCATCCTTGGGGATCGGATAGTGTAGCAGTCGACGCAGCGGCGATGTCCACTCGTTGTGGACGATAAGCCAGTAAAGCCAGGCCAGATTTCCGACCTCTTTGTACGCTTGCGCCGCTTGAACATATTGAGGACCGTCGCGGTATTGGCAAATGAGCATGTCGCAATCCTCGACTTTGTCCACGAGCTTTCCGCCTCCTCTAACGATAATTTCCCTGACCACCTTTGACAGTCGTTCGGTTATAGTCAGATCCGCGGATAGCAAGACATTACGGTCCTGGAAGATAGTGACAGGTGGGCGAACAACCTCTCCATCAGAAGGCAAGGGTAAAGGGAGGTAATTCGGTGTCGGTGATGTCGCACCCGCGAGGTTTTCGTTGGAGGGTATTTTAAGATCGTCTGCGGAAGTCTTCTTAAGAATTTCGGGATCGGGTAGTAGATAGGGACCTTCGTCGATACGTTTCCCAAGTTTGAAGCAATCATCGAACCTGGAGCTTGTCAACGACCAACATTATAAGCCGTCTGCGCTAGACATACCAGTGTGGCAACACAACTTTGCCTTTCCATCCCTTTTGTAGAGCAACCTGGACCTTAGGATGATCCATCGAGAGGGCGCAAATATGCGTGGTTACCTTGGATGCATCTTTTGTTTCTTGTCCACCCAAAGCCATTGTAGCACCAGCAATGCTCTCCTTGTCGGTCTCTGGCAGATCCGCACAAGTCACCACCACCTCAGAAAAGATCATTCTCGGATCAGGCGAAAAAGGCCTAATTTGAGCCTGTTTCCTCCGAGCTATGGAGAAGGTGATCCATTGAGTCGTCACTACAGGGATCATATGAGCCTGTGCCTCAGTGAACTGGGGGAAATCGATCGTGTTGGAGATGATGTGGGTGACTTTCTCGATCGGTAATGAGCCGTCGCGTCGAGGTTCACATATTTGTGCACCATTTTCTTCCAAAATGGTTGATAGCTAGGAGTTGTCAGTATTGGTAATTGGGTTTGGCAGCTTCAGGTTTACCTCTCCGATCAGTTTGGGAGTCAGTAAATTGCTGGCGACGAACGCGATGGCGCATTCAGCAAATGTGTCGGAGGTGGCCATGTCGCGTGTTGAGGGCAAAAGGTTAGGATGAAAGAGAACAAAAGAATCGAACAGCGCCTTGGTTATGACATCAAGCAAAAAATCAATCTAAGCTCAAGAGATCAATAGCAGCAGGAAGATATTAGGTAGGTAGGTGTAGAAGATACCGTGGGGTGCCTAGAAGCTATTGTGAAGCTGCAGACGCGCCAACCACTCAACGCGAGAGTTTGACGCCTGCACGTGACCATCCTGTCCACCCAAATGGCCTTATTTGAGTTGGGAAGGTGGGTCAGTGCTGGCGGTACCAAACTCTAGACATAAGAAAACGGTTATGATAAAAGATCTTCTCATAAGACTATTGTTCAAGACTGGGTAATCACATTTCGGTGCCAGAATCTATCATGAGAGGTTTCCAAGGACACGTGTGCCTAAGGACTGTATTAATATAGTATCGACATCTCCGTCCCTAGTTCATCATATGAATATATTCTCCATAAGAAAGCATCCAGACATCCAATATTTCCATCTCGAAAACCAAAACGCCCAACACCGATGCAATGCTATAACATTTTATTAAAATGGCGTATACCTGTTCCTTTTCTTTAGCCTACCACGCCCAGTGGCCCCTCTACGACCTCCTCCAAAGAGGCCAAAGCCACTGCTGCTCCCATCAGGGAGCTCTCCTTTGCTGACACAAGCTTGATTGTTCTGTTTCCAGACTTTTCCATCTTGTCAGCCGCTACCAAGTCGTTCAGATATGACTGGCAGCTATCAAGATAGCCAGGGTAGCTCTCAATAACGCCGCCGTTGTAGGCTACTGTCGTCTCAGCCAGGTCACGGTCTGCTTCGGCGCTGTCTCGCTCAGATGATTCGGGTGATAATGCGGATACGAACTTGTTCTGGCTGTCGATGCGCAAGTTCCAGAAAGCGTGTACGCCAGCAGCAACAAGCGCACTTGAGCGCCTGGAGACCAAACCGGCTAGCTGCTTGAGGAATGATAGATCAGCAGCTGTGGGGATTTGGCTCGATGGGTGGCGAGAGGAAAATTGCTTGCGCGCCTCTTCGGCATCAGAGCTCGTATCCCTGTTATCGTTAGCATGCTGAAGCCGGATAATCTTGAGTCTGAAACTCACCTCTCAATGATAGAAAGGGTCTCGGTTGAGAACGAGTAAGGTTTCTCCAGGGACACAGGAACAACACCTCCGAAGACTCCAGTCGACTCAATCGCCTCAACAAGTGCCAATCTGCAAATCTCGCCCAGATACATGCCGCTGACCATGTGCTCTAAAGGCTGAAACTCAGGTCGGGCGTGGTTCGCCAATAATTGCCGATCCCATCTTGTCAAGGGCAAGATATCTCGGCCCATCATGCTGATCTCGCTGTTGATGATGACATGTGTTGCTTTCTCAAACCATTGTGGAGGACGCTCGCCAAATTTGACACGTCCGATGGCGGATACAGGAAGATAGGCAGCAAGGTTAACGCCAGTACCAAGGATAAGGCCGAATCTTGTTGTGGGGTGGTTATACGACTCCGATAGTAAGCATGCACTGGAGTCGTTGACAATAGCTCGAAGTTCTACGTTGAGACCGCGGTTCAAGCAGGCTGTTCGTACGATCTCTCCAAGATCTTGACCTAACAACCCGTTGCACGCCGCGAAGCCCTTGCCCATGCCTTGCAACTTGCCACCTGCTAGTGATGTTTGTCTAAGGAACGTTAGCTCTGGACGAAAAAGTGTGTGGAATAAGCATACTCAATGGGAAAACTCCATGCCATCGACATAGGCAAAGGTCCATCAGATCTATCTTGCTGCTCTAGCTCTGCTGATAGAGTCTCTAGTATCCTCTCGGCCATCCAGTCAAAGAACAACATGCCTTCTAGGGCTTTGATCTCAGGGGTGATGTGGAAGTTCCTCATGCTCACGATCCTGCTCTCCTCCCCGATATTGGACACGCGACCACACAGTTCCACCAATGCTACTCTGAGGGTCGAACCACCAACGTCCAATGCCACAAAGCGGCCAACCTCTGTACCTCTTGGTAGCTGATGACTGTATGACGGTAGCATACACTCCATATCAGTTTCCAGTCGCTCTAGGAGTTGTTTTCGTAGGTTGTTGGATAGTTCTTGCAGGCCATCTTGACTGACAGGGTCGAGGAATAGAGCCTCTGCCTCTTTGAGAAAGTCTCGGGCAGATTTGCGTGGCGTATTGGCGACTCGGGTCTTTGTGTTTGTCTCAAGTCCCAGAGAGCTGCCCCAGTAAGCCAAGAGTGACTGAACTAGTGATTTCCCCCGAAGGAGGCTCTTGATGATGGCAGCCAAGAGTGTCTTTTGAAAAGTCGCTGACATGATGGTAACGAGTGATTATGGAAAATAGAAACGAAAAGGGAAAAGGAAGAAGCTTTGAGTCATGGACACGGCAGAATGTAAATAGTCCAAGAGAATGCGAAAAGAAGAGGTTGAAGCAGCTGCCTTCGAAGGAATAGATGGGATGGGTTGGGATGGGGTGAGGGTGAGAATCTTACGCTCCGATGGATGGACCAACTACTACTACCTACTGCTACTGCTACTAGCAGGTGGAGAGTGTCTGATGGACAGGCACAGGTTCCTGGATAGGTAGCTCAGGCGAGGGGAGATCTGGAGGAAACAACACGAAGATGGAGATGGGCCACCTCTGATGGGACATGCCAGGAGTAGACGGGGTCAAAGCATGAGGAGGGACGGATAGAGCGGAGCAGACGACAACAGAGTCCCGCAGACAAGAAGCAGACAAAAGTCGACGTTGCAAGGGGAAGAAGTCGGTCTGGTCGAATTAAGTTTCAGTGCAGTGCAGTTCACGCCGTGTCATGGAAGTAGAGGGAGAGCAAGAGAGCAGCAGGTGTAGTAGGTAGGTAGTAGGTAAGTGGTAATTGGTAGTAGTAATGTATCATATCGCCTCCAATTCGTCCATGAGATCAAAATCAACGTCGTACAGCGAAAGCGCCCGCTCACGCACCCGCTCTCTCACAGGCGACACGCGACAACCGCCACAGCGATGCGAGCCAGCAAATTAGTGAGCAGAAGCGCCTGTAACTGTAATTGTCATTGTAGGTGGTCTTTGGCCTCTGTGTGGCCTTGGAGTTTGTTGGTCAGACGGGGTCGAGGATCGTAGCCAGATGGGGGCACTTAGTTAGGTAGTGGTAACGTAACGTTGCGTGTGAGTGTGAGTGCCCCGTGAGAAAGTGGATGGTAGTGAGAGACATGGGGCCCGTCACGTTTTAATTGTTAGTGTGCACCGCTACATGCTATTGGAGGCTGAAACTGAGAGGAGGCTTATTTGTGGCCGTCTCAACAATCACAATCTCCATAAATCCAGAGGGTTCATCTGATTTTGCATGTTACTTCAAACTTGTCCTTGTTACACAGACATCGCCAAGGAACGTAATTTGAAACAATCTGCCCTTCTTCGGCGCGTCTAGTACCTCTATCCTGGACCCCTGCAGGCATTGAAGCGACCTTGTCACGAACATGAGCATGAAGAAGAACAAGAACAAGAACCAATCCTGTCATCAACTAGTGCGCTTACACGGCATTAATTCTTGATCATCCTGAAGGATGTGACCTCGGTTCAGGCTCATTGCTGGGGCGGGGACTTGACGCAACGAACAAAGTTCCAGAAGCAAGGTATCCAATACGAACAAAAGAACTCTATCATCCTTCCAAAGTTCCACCTCCCGTAAAGAGGGAGGAATCGGGATTCTGAGACCTATGTACCATGGATCTGATAACATCCTTCCAACGCTACCTTACATCGGAGCTAATGCCGACTAGGTACTGTATATCACTGACTATCTCCGTCTTTGCCCCGTAGAAACAAGCAAGCTTGACTTTGGCCAATGGAAGCAGAAGGCAACCTTGACAACACTAGGTACCTACCTATCATGAGCAAGCTTGCAATACAGTGCGGCTTCTCAAACAGTGTCAAACTTGATAGTAAACGTTTCATTCCCTCCACCGCGAATCACTGCGCCTATCGTGACTTGCTATCCAACCTTACATTGCCCACTGACCGAAGTCGCTCTCCCCACGCTCCATCATGAATGAATGGCAGTGGGAAAGCGGCAAGGAAAGTGGCGTCCTACCTATCTCAGGTAAGGTAGTGCCACTGTTCCTATCATGATGCAACGGGTCCCCATGGATGGCAAGTGACTCTCTCTTTGCTAGTGACTTGTGCGCCTTTGATAAGTTCTCCTCATAAGCAACTGACTCCTCGAAAGTGTAATCATATTTCTTAAAACTCTAACACACCCAAGACCTCCTACCAAAAATCCATTACTTGATAACTTCATTTCTAAAACCATCACTTATAACATCACCCACTCACTGCCATCATGCGGCTCATCATCCGTGACGACGAGACTGAGGCATGCAAGTATGTCGCCAATTACGTCGTGGAGCGTATCAATGCCTTCCAGCCCACACCCGAGCATCCCTTCATCCTCGGCCTCCCTACAGGTTCTAGCCCTATCGGAGTGTATGATATGCTAGTACGCAAGTACAAGGCTGGCGAAGTACGTTGCATCACCTCATCCTAGAGCAGCATCTAACCATAGCAGGTCTCGTTCGAGAATGTAGTCACCTTCAACATGGACGAGTACGTCGGTCTTCCTCGAGACGATCCAAACTCCTACCACTCCTTTATGTGGAAGCACTTCTTCTCTCATGTCAACATTCATCCTTCCAACGTCCACATACTTGATGGCAACGCTGCCAGCCCGGAAGCCGAATGTGATGCATACGAGGAAGCTATCAAGGCAGCTGGTGGTATTGATCTCTTCTTGGCCGGTATTGGTGAAGACGGCCATATCGCTTTCAACGAACCCGGATCAAGCCTTGCCAGTCGTACCCGAGTCAAGACATTGGCATACGACACCATTCTTTCCAACTCGCGCTTCTTTGACAACGATGTAAGCCGGGTGCCAAGAATGGCCTTGACTGTGGGCGTCCAAACTGTCCTTGAAGCAAGAGAGGTTGTTGTCATTATCCTGGGAGCCCGCAAGGCGCTTGCATTGCAAAAATGCGTCGAACAAGGCGTCAACCACATGTGGACGCTATCATGCCTTCAACTCCATCCTCATCCCATGATCGTCGTCGACGAAGACGCCACATTGGAACTTCAGGTAAAGACAGTCAAGGTAAGCAACTCTTCCTCCCATAACGAGCCTCCACTAACATGGACGACAGTACTTCAAGAGCATCGAGAAAGTTGCTCGCGAGCAGGGATTCGAGCAGATTCTTCCCTCCAAAGTACGGACTGGCAATGTTGCTATCCCTGAAACCAAAATTAAGAGAGCTGAGAGCCCTGCGATTATCGCTCCGGAGCCGATTGCTTCACATCTCTTGCGAGCGACACCTGCAGGAGACTACTCTATGAGAACCCCTTCGCCCGATTTGTGCCCCGACCGAATGGCGTCGCGAATTCCGGAACCGAACCTGAACCGCAGACTTACGCCCAACCTCGAAGTTCAGACCGACGTCCCAAAGACGAAAGTTGAGATGATCGATAGCGCCGTCGCCATGTCTCCAGACGCTCCTGTCGCGAACTTACTTCAGCCGATGACCGCAAACATTAAGGCAATGCGATCACCGTCGCCAGACCTAGTTCCTGACAGTATGGCCTCGCGCATTCCAGAGCCAGATCTAAGCCGCAGATTGACACCCAACCCCGAACTCCAGAAGAAAATGAACACTGTCGGGGCGCAATAAACGGGATAGGTGGGTATGCTGGGGAACGAAGAGTAGAAAAGAAATGGAGACCAGGAATGTCTTGTTCAGTCACTACAGGGTTGGATCCTGGGACAAAATTATCAGACTACAACAATAGTATCTTTAGCCCCGTATTCGATTAAGACGTTGAAGTCAGGTTAGAGATAGAACACAAATACCACCGGTGGCTTTTAGATAGGTTGTGTGTTGGAGTTTATGGGTGTTACGTGTGTTGTATTTTGGCGTGGAGGCGTTTGGTGGGAAAAGGGTCATTTCTCGGCAATCGATTGCCATATAGGACGACTACAAGATTATTACACAGGTGTTCAATACGATCTATTGCCTTCCGTGACCTGAGATTTCATTCTGTGTATAGATTTACTCAAGCAACATGAGCATGATTCAACAACATATGCTGTGCTTTGTAATACGTAGGTACTTTGCAATAGCCAATTGTCGCATTAAAATTCTCGGGTATCGATGCAACCCATCTCATGCCCTCAACGATGTGTTAACCGTCCACCTAATGTGTATATACTTGCTCGCAATGTGCTATAATCCCAAACAGACTCCCCCTTTCCAGAATGCCCGTACAAAAGCTTAGATATATAATATACAGGAAATCGGCTTTTCCAACAATTCGTAACTCGTCAGTCTCGACCACCTCAGTCAGAGGCAAAGTACCGCTTCGCCTTGCTCTTGAGCTGTTGTGCTTTCATCTCGGGTGGCATGATAGTGTGATGGACCACGTGAGGCCGATAAACAGCATCGACAGGCGGCATCCTGGTGGAGGTTAGTAACGTGAAAGTGGGGAGATCCAACAAAGTGGTAACGTACCAATCATCCACAGTCAGTGGAAAGTATTCGTACAAGGGATCGGCACCGTCGTCTGCAGGACTGTTTTCCCTGTTCGCCCCTGCGGTGGTGTAGCCTTTGCCAGAATTGGGACTGTGCAGCTCGGCACTCGAGCGGTTTGGACTTCTCTCGTCCTCTGATAGCGATAGATTGATCGGCAGGGATGCATTCTGACGTGGGAGTGAATTTTTGCTATTGTGGGAATTTGCTGCCTTAGCAGAGTTGTTTGGATCGCTGGACCAAGCTGGTATCGGGGGTCTAGTCATTGTTGGCGATAAGGCGACTCGTTTTGCCGGATGTGGACTTGCAACGGGTTGAGGACTGGGTAGTGGATGGGTAATTGACCCAGGTGTTGCCCAGTCGTTCGGCTGCTTATCTGTCAGCTCTGTCCTTGACGAAGATGGACTGACGCATGTCTTACCTGGAGATTTCCAGCAGGAGGGAATCTTTGCGTGAAGTTCGTCGAATTCTCCCGTTCGAGTTTAAGCGTTGGGTGATCGACATTTGACGTCGATGTGCTTCTCCTCTCAAATCTCTTGTCACCTGTAAGAGGAACGTCCTTCCTGCTATCGAAGTTTCTAGGACTCCGGCCACGCACAATGACTGGGCCAGATTTGATCTCCGATACTTTGATGAGTTCACCGGCCTGTGTCTTTCCCAGCAGGGTGATCTGGACTACGTAGTGCTGTTGCAAGCCCTTTCTTCTGCCGTTGTTGGCAGTGGCATGCTTGAACTGAAGCCGTTTCCAAGATATAGGCAGAGAAACACGATGTGCGTCGATTTCCTGCCCTGTCGTTATATCCAGTGTGATAGTAGGCGGCGCTGAAACGCCTTTTGAGTCATCGCCTCCCTGGGGATTGGCGTTCTTCCAGGGGATCGATATTATTTCTGTCGCCTTTCCTTCGATGGATTCGATGGCCGCAATATTCGCGACTAACTCGACTATTTGAATGTGTTGCCCTTGCTCATTCACAATGTTCCTGATTCCGCGAGGGAGAGTGATCTGCCCCGAACACTGCCAGAGGTTGCGGCGATAACAAGTCAACTCCATCGGGCGTCCGGTTGATTCTCCTCCAAAGACATCCTCGGCAACGAAGAACATGCCGTACAATTCAGCCGTCATGCCGGCGTCAACAAATTGGTTGTTCTCGTTGACAATGGTAGCGTTGGAAACGGGAGCGGAGAACCCAAGAAGCTTATTATCGGGCTCCTGGGGAGATGATTCTTCGTGCAGCGCATCTTGATTCGGCGGAGGATCGAATTGTTGTCGAGTCGAGTATGAGAAGGGATCTTCAAAGGTCGAGGAAAAGGCATCCAAGTCGTACGAGGTGCCGAAAGGTAGAGTCTGCAGTGCAGCCCCATCACTGTAGATGTTAGCTTGAGTAGCTCCCCAGCCAAAGTTGCGCGCGCGTTGCAAGTGCGCTGCAGTGCTTACAGGAGTGATTCATCAAATGTCATATCCTGGTCAAACACGTCCATATTCATACTCTGAGAGTGGGCAGATCCGAAGTTCATCGCCATCGCTTGGCTGGAAGAGGCGCCAGTTGGCAGCCCCGACATTGAGTTGTAGGTTGACATGGCATTGTTTAGTTGAGAAGAGCCGTCAAAGTCTCATTGGCGCGGCGGGGGAGACAGCGACACAACGTGATCGCACAAGTATGTGCAACGGTGCAAAGGGATGAGAATTATCTGGCGACACCGGCGATGGCGGGTTGTTTCCCCGGTAGAGCGCCGAGGGTTTGGGGCCACGAGCAAACAGAGCCGAAAGAGTAGATAAGACAAGTTCAAGGTCGAACAGAGCGAGGTAGAGATAGCCAGGTAGTAGTCTATGAGGAGAGGTGGAGGCGGAGACGGAGGGAGTGTGGAGGGCCTGGGCTGCCGACCTCCAGCTAACTCTACGGGCTCCGGCTACTGTAGGTTTGTGGAGAGTCCCACTGGGCTGGCTGACCCTTTACTGTTCCCAGCGATAGGTTCTAAAAGTTGATTGGCATTCGCTTCAACAATTGGCCGAGACAGAGCTTCATGTGAAGACTCGAGACCCCGCGGGCATTGTTATCTCCTAGTTAAAAGGGAGCGCTATATAAGAGGAAGCTTTCAAGATATGTTCTTGGCGTTGTTTGCCATTTCGGCATCTTCCAGGAGGGTTTTATTATTCATTAAAGTCAATTAAAATGAAGCACAACGTTGGCAGCGTTTGCAGTAATATTTTATTTATCAATGCTTCCTTCATGCCCAATGCTCCCCAGGTCTTTGCCTTTCTAATAATAATGCTCTTTTAATTCTAGTTTCTGTTTCATACACCATACCTATGTATTCTTATCATGAGGACGGGAACCAACAGCAACGGCAAGCCAACCAAACTTTCACATCAACTTGCTCTCCTTGGCAGAATCAGACACCCTCTCACCAAACTTCCACACTTCGTCCAGCATAAGAACTTCATTCGTTCCCCTGACTTCACCCTGGCCTTCGTATCCGTCTGACAAAATCACCAGATCTGCGTCAGCCCCCGATTCTAGTGAACCCTTGACTCCCTGTAAGCCAAGCATGGCCGCCGGTGTTGATGTGACCGCTCCAAGGGCCTGGGGAATACTAGCCCCAGTCCACTGTCTGAAATTATTGACACACTCGAGGAGAGTGATTGAGCTGATGAAGGTTAGATACATGGAACGCTCCATACGGTAGATCAGTACGTACCTCCCAGCAATCGTGTCAGAGTTCTCAAGGAGCAATTTGGAACCTTGCTTGACAATGTTGCATGTGTACTCTCCGTTTGTCCACGGATAGGCTCCATCCGGGAGACCAACAAGATGCATAGCATCCGTGACCAGAATAAAACCGTCAGGATGGGCGCTGTATGCGATCTTGATAGTCGTAGGATGCAAATGAATGCCATCTGAGATGATGCCAAAGTAAGGTCGTGGCAGACTCTCGGCCTTGCCCAAAACTCCAAAGACACCTGGGTTTCTGTGGTGCAACGGGCGCATGGCATTGAAGAGGTGTGTAATCATTGTGGCACCCTTACTGACAGCTTGCGATGTCTCTTCGTATGTTGCCTCGGTGTGCCCAACGGAATAGATGATACCTCTGGATGTGATCTCCGGGATCAGGTTCATCATCTGTCCACGTTCGGGCGCTGCTGTAATCATCTTGATCGGCATCGGCGAGCCATCGGAGCGAGGGACCATGTTCTCACGACCATAGCATTCCTCAATATCCTCTATCGATTCAGCTTGTGTGAGGACATCGACATTGTGAACTCCGTTCTTGGTGGGACTCAAGAACGGACCCTCGCAGTGAGCACCAAGTGACTCGGCGCCGTGAGCCGGGATCCGCTGTTCCCCAGACGGGCCAAGATACGGGAGGGCCTGGCAGGCGTTAGCTTCATGTACGATTACCCCACTCAAGAGGAAGGCGTACCTTTTGGTATAATTCAGGCCGTTGGCTGGTGATGGTTGGGATGTATGATGTGACCCCTGTCTTGACCAGTAGTCGATTGATCTTTTGGATATTTTTGCCATATTCGGACATGTCATCCAGTAGTGTTGAGAAGTTGAAGCCAAAGGCACCGTTGAGCTGGCACTCGATCAGACCTGGTGCGATGATGCGTCCACCGAGGTCAAGAGTATTGTCAGGCATGTTGCGGCCGCCATAGAATGAAGCTTGGCTATCGATGATCTTGCCAGTAATAGAGCTGACCCAGAGGTCCTCCCAGACCAGGTCGTTGCCTTTCAGCAACCGACAGTTGGTGAATTTAGTGAGGCCATTCTTGGGTAAGGTCGGCGACACGGCGATAGGCATATTGAAGATGGGCTGGGGGAGTCTGTGATGAAGAATTAGATATTTCCAAGTGGACTGTTTTGGTGCTCTCTATCTTGAGTTGAAAGTCCCTAAGGACAATGAATCACATAAAACGAGAGGCGAGTCGTGGGATACTAGTATTTTCCAGAAAGTTTCATCCTCGGAAGCCTAAAGCCCTATCAAGCCGCCGACAACGGCCACGTTTTTTTCCAGATAGCATGAGAAGAGTCATTTCGTCATTCCTGTGAGCGATTCAGTAACCGTGCCATCTGGTCCCAAGCCGACGGTGCCATCGTTGAAGCCGTGATAGTGAGACTGTGTGGAGATGTTTTTGGTCTGAACGTGGTATGGTTCCCTTTTGCTATGTTGCTGTGCATATTGACAGCCAAAGACCAGGGTGCAGTGGAATACAAAGACCATGCCATCCGTCCATTTTTGCCTCACAAGTAATGTTCATCCTTACCTGGTTTAATCTCTCACGTCTCGACACAACGTGAAACCGACCTCTTTGTCGCCGACCATTTGTTGCTGTTGTTCCATGTAACGTTAACTCATGGGGCGTAACCCATCAAATCAAATCGCCTGCCATAAGAAACAGCCAACAAACAAGGCGACTCCACTTCCCTATCGCGCCCAACAGCTGGCTCCTTCCACAACTGACCAATCAATATACACCAATCAGCTCAGCCGAGGTTTAGGCGGTCGGCAGCATTCCACCTCCACTCCAATGGCCCCTCCTCCTGCTGGGTCAGCGTCTAGCTCATCCTCTCGAGAAGGCTACCGCAGTGTCAATGCATCTCATCGTTACCTCAAGCACGCGGGGCCATCAAGGGGTGAGCCAGAACCACAGCAGAAGAGATCAAAGTACCATGTGACGAGGCATCGACGCCGCCCAACCATCATGGCCCATACAGACAATAGCGACCTCGATCCAGCATGGCAAAATCTCGACCGGTACGTACCCATAGGCCTCACCTCACCTCACTTCCTGTCAGTCCCGTCGAGGCGCGTCTCCGGACGGCGCGGGACTGTCAAGGGGGCCGTCTCTCCACTATTCGGCTCCGAATCTCGGAGAATAACTATCCATTCATTCACTTGACACCATGATACTAACTCATTGTTCTGTAGTGCCATTGGGCAGATCCTGATTATGGGCTGGGATGGCACTGAAGTTACCCCCCAGATCAGGAGCCTCATTGAGGATCATTACCTTGGTTCCATTATACTTACAGCCAAGAACCTTAAATGTGAGTTCTACTCATAGACATGTGTCTTGCTTCATAACCCTAACGTTATCAAGCTGCTCAGCAAACAGCAGAACTGGTCCAGGAATTACAGACCATTGCTAAGAATGCTGGTCATTTACAACCTCTTCTCATCGCCCTCGATCAGGAGAATGGAGGAGTCAACAGTCTTTTTGACGAAGACTACGTATGCCAATTCCCCAGTGCCATGGGCGTCGCAGCTACGGGTCGAGCCGACCTAGCATATGAAGTGACAAAGGCTACTGCCACTGAGATCTCGGCATGCGGTGTCAACCTCATGCTAGGACCCGTCCTCGATGTATTGAATAACGCTCGCTACCAACCTCTGGGAGTGCGTGCTACCGGAGATGACCCCCAAGAAGTATCACAATATGGCCTAGCTGCTCTCCGAGGAATTCGAGATGCTGGAATTGCTTCATGTGGAAAGCATTTCCCATCGTACGGAAATCTAAACTTTCTGGGCTCAAACCTAGATGTGCCCATCATCACTCAAACACTAGAGGAACTCAGCATCAGTGCTCTAGTTCCATTCCGAAATGCCGTCGCCTCTGGAAAATTAGATGCTATGTTCATTGGAGGCTGCGGCATATCCAATCCGTCCATGAATGTGAGTCATGCTTGTCTTTCAGATCAAGTTGTGGATGAGCTCCTACGCGATGAACTTGGATTCAACGGGGTCGCAATCTCAGAGTGCTTGGAGATGGAGGCTCTCAGTCATGAACTTGGTGTCCAGAATGGTGTCATAATGGCTGTCGAAGCAGGCTGTGACCTTGTCCTTCTCTGCCGTGCCTACGACGTCCAACTCGAAGCTATCAAAGGCCTGAAGCTCGGTTATGAAAATGGCATTGTGACGAGGGAGCGGATTTTTACCTCTCTGAGAAGGGTACTTAACCTGAAATCGACCTGTACCTCTTGGGAGAAGGCGTTGAACCCTCCAGGCATTTCTTTACTTTCTCAACTCCATCCATCTCATCTTGCTCTATCACTCCAAGCCTACGATGATTCCATCACAATCATTCGAGATAAGGAGAAGCTTATCCCACTCACCGCCTCAATGCATCCCGGAGAAGAGCTCCTCTTGTTGACTCCTTTAGTCAAGCCGCTGCCTGCATCTTCACTCACCAAAAAGTTGCTGGCAGCCAAAGATAACCAGAATCAAGCAGAAGGACAACATGAGATGTGGGCGCATAATGGTCGTGACCGAAGCGCGATATTGAGTGGAGAGGGTGTCTTCCGAGAATTTGGCAAATCTCTTGCTCGAGCTCGTAATGAAAAGCTACTTCACACAAGCTATACAGCTAATGGAGTTCGCCCAGGTAAAACTCTTATTATTCAGCCGATGAAACTCAATCTGACCAGATTTAGTTCACGAAAACCTGATCCATAGAGCATCTTGTATCATTATTGTCACGGCTGATGCAAATCGAAACCTTTATCAAGCTGGCTTCACTAAGCATGTTGATATGATGTGCTCTATGCTTCGAACCAGGGGTCAAAAAAAGCAACTGATTGTAGTGGCAGTCAGCTCTCCGTATGATTTTGCAATGGACAAATCCATTGGCACATACCTCTGCACCTTCGACTTCACAGAGAACGCTCTCCATGCTCTTGCACGGACACTAGTTGGAGAAATTGCACCCCTTGGAACTCTCCCCGGTACATTGCGTAAGAGCAAGAAGGTTCTCAAGTCCAGACAGCACTGGCTGGTAGAAGAATACAGTGCGAAACGTGACGCATCTGCTTTGAATGACCTACTTCGAGCTGTTCACAGAGCAAGCGCACCAGACCTGCAGTTTCTACGCACAACAACTGCTGCTTCCTTTCAGCTTAATAATGCCAATATTGCCGAATCACATTTTGTGGTTAGAAATAGCAGCACCAACACTTTGTACGGCTTTGCTGCTACTTACTTTGTTCACGGTGTTGGTATCCTTGGGGGTGTCTTTGTCGAGCCCACCAAACGTGATGTATCGATCGGAAGGTCCCTTCATCGACGGGCGCTCAGAAGTCTCGTGCAACGACGAGGAATTAAGCAAGTCCAGATAGGGACAGCTTTCCCTGGAGTATTCCTAGGCATTCCCAATGATGTCGAGGTCAACACAATCAAAGAGTGGTTTGCGAACAGTGGCTGGGATGTCCAGTTTCCACGACGCGTATCAAACATGATTTTACAGGATGTGGCAAGCTGGTCTGCCCCGGAGGGTTTGTCCCAGAGCATTCAAAGAGCCAGTATCAGCTTTGACCTGATTCATGATTTGGACAACGCGGATGGTGTTCTCAGCCATGTCCGTCACAACGCGAATCCTGAGGTATTAGAGCTGTACCGCCATGCGCTGTCAGAATCGAAGTTGAGTGGGATTGTGCGGGCAAAAGATGCGACAGGTGCCTTGTTGGGTACGATCATTGTTTGCAAGCAGCGCAGTCCATTGGAAACTCATATTCCCTCATTGGTGTCACGCTCTGAGGACATCAGTGGCATCATTGCTCCAGTTGTACCTCCTGGACCACAAACAACTCTTGCCTTACAAGGTTTGACGCTCATGGGCATTCGTCAGGCAAGGAGTCACAAAGCTACAAAAGTGGTACTTGGTTGGGTAAGTCAACCATCCTCCCCAACCTTTCAGTATGGCTAACAGCTCAGGTTGTGGATGATGGTTCTGAGTCCCTCACAGCGATGGGCTTTGAGACACTCCAAGAGTTCGAGGAAATCACAAACTCCCCAGAGAATGTAAGTATACCCACTTCTAAAGCTACAACAGCTACTGACAAGTAATAGTTTTCCAATATAGTATGAATAGGGGAACACAACGGATGTGTTGTCACGAATCTACCGGGAAAATTATGATTAGCGAATGAATAACATGCTGCCTTGGATAATATGCTTATAAGTTTTGCTCCTGCTCCATCCTAAGTTAGGTCATGCCTCATGATTCTACTCTTGTATCCCTCGCTGTATCCCAGCTCTTGCAGAGGGTCTTCGAAGGAACACTGTTTGTATAGACAGTGAAGTCGTCAGTATCAACGTAAAACTCCATCCTAGTCAGAAAGCTGAGTCCCTCTTTCGGTAAAGGGGATTCGACTTGATACAAAGCAAGCTTGTCTATTACTTATCGGGCATCAGTCGCCAAGTCAATATTCATGCTCTTGGTTGGTATTGTCCAACCATTCGAATTTAACCAATATGAGGGCATTAGAAGACTTGGCAAATTGCCCGGTATCGTCATGCTCAATAGGGTCTCTGGGTGTTCATCTTAGGATGTCCACTGTTGTAGTTGGCCCCCCTCTGTTTCCAATTGGACCGACGATAAACATTTTTCATTCTCCTGGCCGGTCACATCGCCAGGGCCTGGATATCGTGCACTTACCCTTCAATGTGAGGCTTAGCCACGACTTCACTACGGAGCCAGGTGAGGTGAGGTATTGAATGCCATTCTTAGTCAGATTTGTAGACTAGGTATTCTGAAAAGATCCGTAGCCATAATAAAAGCCGTCTACTGGGTACTAAGTCATCCTCACTTGCTAACTTGAAATATAACAGTGTTCCTGGTGTAACTAAATGACTCGGTTGATCTTTTGGTGCGTGACGAAACTTTGCACATTTACTTTCGCTATGATTCTGAATCTGACAGGCAGACTCTGTTTCGGCGACTCTTTAACCATACGATTACGCTACATTGTATTTCAAGAAAGTACTACTGACAGTCAGCCTTTCGTTTCCTAATGATCAGGTGGACAGAACTTTTGTTCTTGGCTTCTAAGGCATAGGTACCTCCTTTAGCCTTGCCAAACTGTGTTCCCTGTACTTGTAGTGACAACAGTACAAACTGAGGGCGTCAAAGCATGGCATGCCTTGAATTCAGACTATCGTGGAATCTCTTCCAGAAACCCCAAATGCATACACTATCGATCTGAGATCAGTACAAGAAGTTTTATCATTATCGCCGATTTCTCGGATCACTTTCGGGTGGCAGAGAGGCTAATCATAGCAACAACCACCGCAAGTAAAGATACTTGATATAACAACCAATTCACTGAGTTTCATTCAGTATATCTGGTTGTTATATTATGTATCATCAAATACTGTTTTATGAGTATATATTAGGTAAATTAATAGCATCCTGGTCTTCAACCTCAGGTAATTGCAAATGTGTCTAAACTGTTCCTCCCTAAAAGGGTGTTCCTTCCCCCTGAGTTTTCATTTCGACATCTTCCTGGTTCTTTCCTCTGGACAAATAAAATGTACGTCATTTTACAAGACAAAAAAATCAAAGGAATATGGGAAGGAGCCAAGGAACATGTAGGTACCTACCTGATTCAAGTTATGGTTGTCAGTCATGAGCGTGGGAAATAGAGAGGATTTAACATGTAATTTGCCATACATTCGACATATCATCGTCCCATCAATTTACACTGATTCTACTTGGTGAACAATGGCAACTCTATATACGTGTTCTCCGAGAGGTTTGTCTTCTCATAAGTTCTGGGATGAGTCTGAAGAGACCGTCTGGCCCAATGTGGCCTCAATTCCTCCCCCCTCGCCCCCCCAAGTCGTTGCTCCTATTGAGCAGGAGCCTTGTGCCAATTTTTCCTGTAAGTTATTCCTTCTCAATTGATTATCTACCTTCCTTACCGTCGGTAAGGCAGATAGGTAAGTATCTAAGGTAGGATTGATGAGTTGACAGAACTATAGAGGAAGAACTAAGGGCCAAGACTGATGCGAGGATCCGGCGGGTGGCAGAGGATGCCAGAGAGCACCTCTGGGGGGAGGCGTACGCGCATCTCCCCCATTGCGAAATAGACTGGTCGCTGGATGATGAGTTTAGCTGCCGTGTCGTGGGGATGGAGTGTTATGGGATGTTATCTGTGAGGCCAGCTTCGCTCCGGCGCCATCTTCAAAGCGCTGCGCATGTGGTAAGTTAATCTACCTATATAATGAGTTCTCTTGTGCACATGAGTGTCTTTCCTACCTAGGTAGTACCTAATGGGTAGTAGGTATGAAGCTACTTTTGGTCCTGTTTACTGATTGTGACTACCTGTAGAAGCACGAGGCCCGACTTGCCAGAGAGTGGGTTGAGCCTCCCTCCTCCTCCCCCCAGCCGAGCCCTCCTCTTCATCAACCACCAACTCCAATTGCTCCTGCCCTTGAGACGGACTTGATGAAAGTTGATGGAGAGTTGGAAGCAGAAAGAGCCATGGACGCCTCGCAATCTGCTGTTGCTGCTGAGCCTGGAATTCCCATCCTGAATATATCTAGCAAAAGGAGCTCTGCTCCTGATGCTAAGACACCAGACATGGGAGCGGGGAGGGAAAGCGCTCCCCAACCACCGCCACATTTACGTCGTTCGCGAAGACCCAAGTCTTCTACCATTACTTACACTATATAGTGGTCGTGCTGGAACTGTTGGTGTGGGTGGTTTCGTGACCGGTGGAGGAAACTCCTTCTACTCTGCGTCTCATGTAAGTGACAAAAACACCAAAAAAGCATTTGGAAATAACTCACATATACAGGGAATGGCTTGTGACACAGTAGCGGGTTGGCAGCTCGTCCTCGCCAACGGTGACATCGTTGAAGCTAACGCCGAATCCAATGCCGATCTCTGGCAGGTGAGTATCTCCATATTACATTCATTCAAGTCAGTCATTCTAATCTCAACTAGGCCATGAAAGGTGGCTCGGGAAACCTGGGTCTGATCACAAGAATCGACATGTATCCCATTGAGTTTGTCGACCGCAGCAACCCTTCAATTTGGGGTGGCAACCTTCTCTACAAGCCTGAGTCAGGCCCTGCAGTCATCGATGCCCTCATTGATTTCACCGCCAATGTACCCAAGGACGAAAACTCCAGCAGCATCGTTTACTGGGCTTATCTCCCTGCCTTAGCTGGTGGCACTATTCTCAACGCAGCTATAGAGAACACCAAGGGTGAGGTCAAGCCCCCTGCCTTCGACAGCTTCTATGCCATTCCTGATATTCAGGGTGACACTACTGTCACTGAAAAACTCAGCAAGGTCACCAAGGATCTCGGTTCAGGTCAACCTCCCCACTTCCGCAACGTCTGGTTCACAAGCTCCTTCAAGCCCAATGCCGAACTCCTGAACTATGTCGTTGAGAAGTATGACGAACTCAACCAGGCCCTTGAGGCTCTCATGCCCAGTGCCGAGTCAGAGCTTAACACACTCTGCATGTTCCAACCCATCACCAAGTCCATCGCCGAGAAGGGTGTCAAGAATGGCGGCAACGTCATGGGTCTAGACAAGTATACAGAGGGCGGAGATGGTATCATGTTCCTCCTTACCTGGGCTGCCAAGGGTGAGGCAAGCGAGGAGGCTGCTTTCCCTCTCCTCAAGGCTTACATGGACGACATCGAGACCAAGGCAAAGGAGATGGACGCTTGGTGGGCTTGGAAGTTTATCAACTACGCTCATCTTACACAAGATCCTCTAGCGACTATTGGAGATGAGGCTCTTGCTAAGCTTCGTGCTGCAAGCAAGAAGTACGACCCTCAGGGTGTCTTCCAGAAGCTCCGAGTTTCTGGTGTTAAGATTCCTTTTTAATCAGAGTACCATAGAGATGAACATTAGAGGCATTATAGACCGTATGAATATTTGAATCACATAGATCTCTAATCAATTGTGTGGAGAGATTTATCAACTTGAATTCGATCTCATGTAGCAGAAAGACTTGGGTAAGTTTAGGATAGACTTAGGTGAGTTTATTACATGTTAGCAGGCCTTTAGACCAGTTTATTTCAGCACATTGGCTTAGTGTCAGAGATTTTCTTACTCCCCGAGAATTATCTTGTTATTGTATTTTATATAGTATTAACGTCAACTGAAATGAGATGAGGTTTCCACGTTTCTCTTCCATAAAGGTCTGTTATCATCGATTCTCATGCGGCATAATGCTCAGCAGAGTCGAGCCATGCATGAATCGAATGGTTTCTCTCAGTTCCTAACAATCTCCTTGCCACCAAACCATGCTCGAATAGTAGGCCAGTATGTGTAGTGCAAGTAAACATCGACAGAGGCAACGACTGCGAGGCCTGCTAAGACATATCGACGATTCTGAGGAGAGGCATTCCTCCATTTCTCGACCAAGCTGGTAGACTTCCCGACATTGGGAGCGGTGGTGCTTTTCATGGCGGTTGAGCTTGAGATGTACCTGCGAGCAGCTTGGCTGGCAGAGGTAGAGAGGCGGGTGGTGATGATGGGCGACATGATGTTTTTGTGGTTTAATTGAAGGATTTGTTTTGGGCTTTGTATAACTAAGTTCGGTCGCGCGTGTGATTGAATTGTTTCTATCGAATTGTTCTTGTTGTTTTTATATTCTACCAGAGTTGACAAACAGTCTATATATATACTCTCAAGTGATATAACCCAGTTACCAAATTCCGTTATGCTTAACCATAATGCCTAACGATCCCCACAACGCCTCGCTCAAACATAACATGCATCACTTTGTACCATCACAGATGATCTCATCGCATCAGCTACCTGGTCGCTTCGGTCGATTAATCGTCAGCGGTTTGAATGGTTTACGCAATCGATCCATCGAAGGCGCCGGCCCCAGGCCAACTGGGCGTCGCACACCTCCACTGGGTTTTACAGACATGAATGTTGTCGCGTGAAGACTTGAAGCAGGCTTGTTAGGCAATGCTTCTTCCTCGTCCTTTTTGTTCTCTTCTTCAGGCTCTTTTCTTGACGGTGGTCGTGGTGGTGAACTGGAGAAACAGGAGTAAGGTTTTCGAGGGCCCGCGTCTATCTTGGGAACATTTGGTTTTGATAGAGGTCGTGCAGAAGGAAGTTTATGTTTTGCCAGCTCCGGATCGATCAATGGCTTTTGTGGCTCCAGCCCTGTTGGTAATCTCCCAGTCATACCATTCTGCCGTGACAATGCAGACTGGTATCGCACCTGTGCAAGGGACCTGGGCGGCTGCTGCTGCTGCTGCGGTAGAGGCTGACGTTCGGGTCGAGATTGAGGAGCATCTCTTCCATGATTAAGCCATCCAAGCATACTCTTCTGCCCAATGCCTCTTTTCGTCGATCCCTTCTTTGGCCCTAGTTTTGAGCTTGCTGGTTGGGCTGCTGCGGCTGCGGCATCTAGGGCAACTCTATGAGCTCCAGCGGTTGTGAACCCTGGTAAAGCAGAAACAGTGAAATCAGATGATTTTTCCATTGTTGTGGCATATTCTCTCTGCCAGGGAAGCTCATCGGTTTCATCGTATGACGTGACCGGGTGCGCCGTACGCTGGCGCTTGGGTGCTCGCGAGTAATGTCGTCCAGTCTCTTCGTCGTATCTATCGACGTTCTTCGGATCAACAGGGTCGACAGGAAACCCGTCATCTTCAACTGAGAACATAGGTGGGAGTTTTCCGAATATTGCCTTCTCACCTGGAGCCTCTCGTCCCAAAATTTTTGCAACGCCCTCTACAACTGCTCGATCGAACGATGGCCCCTTCTTGGCGAAGACCTTGGATGCAAAAGGGGAGACAAACGGTGAGAGTTCAACCTTACTGCTCATCCCTTGAGAACCGTAGAGTGGGCAGCTTAGGTACAATAGCGCTTGGGCTCGTGTCATTGCCACATAGAGGAGACGTCGTTCCTCATCTGTGTCTTCCGATCTTGAATGAGGAATTGATCCAGTATAGACGGAGGGCACGAAAACAACAGGCCACTCCAACCCTTTTGCTGCGTGAATGGTCGATATAGTGATCAGCGATTTCTGGTCTTTTGTGTCGCCTTTGTTCTGTGCGTCCGATGCCAATGACACGTTGGCCAGGAACCGGCCTAGCATATCATCCTCTCTCACTTGATCCATATTCTCGATTTCAGGGAGTGCTTCTTCCTCTGGTCCGCCAAAATCTCTCATAAAATCGCTGACCAGATTAACAAACTCCTGAACGTTGGCCCATCGCTGTTCATGTTCTTCTGTGTATTCTTCCTCCAAATACTTCTTAAAATCAAGATGGCCAATCAGTTGCTCTATCAAGTTGACCAGAGTGACAGGGCTGCTCTGACTAATTAGATCGGCTTCTTTTCGTAAGCTCGAGATGGTCCGGATGAGTTCTGTGTTGAGCTTTTGCTCCATCTTTGGTCTGATATTGGTGTTTGCTTTACGACTGCCTTTGCAGTGCTTGAGAATCAAAGTCCATAGGCTCATGTTGGTCTGCTCCGCCTCTTCAAGAAGAGATTTGATGGTTGCTTCTCCTATACCTCTTCTTGGCACATTGATTATCCTGGCGAGCGCATCGTTGTTGTCAGGCTGGCTCACTACACGAAGGTAATCTATCAAGACTTTGATTTCCTTTCGTTCATAGAATTTGTGGCCTCCAATCATTCGGTATGCGACACCAGCTTTCCCCAAAGCTGATTCGATGTGTCGAGAAAGCGCAGCGGATCTTAAAAGAATTGCAACATCTTCAAAATTGAGCATATCTCCAAGCATCATGATGACTCGCTTAATCTCAGAAACGATCCATTCGCCTTCAGATGATGAACTCTTTAGTGTCCTGAGAACCGGTCGCGCTCCCTTAGTGTGGACTGGCAGTAACACTTTCTGGTATCGCTTTTTGTCTTGTTGAATAACGTTGAGAGATACATCAAGGATGGATTGTGACGATCGATAGTTTTCTTCCAGGGAAATTTCATCTGTATCAGGATAATCTCTTAAAAGTCGATAAAGGTTTCGAATCTCAGCTGAACGCCAACCGTAGATACTCTGATCAGGATCGCCTACAATTGTGATTCGCTGGCGTGCTTGGGCGAATAACTTCATCAGCTCATATTGAATGCCGTTTGTATCTTGGTACTCGTCGATAAGGACAGTCTGGACGTTGGAAACGCAAGCTGGGTGATCTCTCAATAGTTCGACACACTTGACCAGGAGATCATCATAGTCCAGCAAATTTGACCTTTTTAGCTGAGCTTGATACTCTTCATAGCAGGTCCTTAGCGCCGGGTTCTCTTTTTTGCCTTTCTGCGTTGGAGCCACGGCGGTATTTGGTCCCTTCGCTTTCTCTTTACTGATCCATGACCTCGCATGTAGCGGCTCGATGCCAAGTTCGAGCCTCTTGCAGATTCTCTGGATGATCGCCCTCGAATCTCCGTCATCTGCGATTCCAAACTTGGAGTCTAGTCCGATGCGATTTCCGTATATAGACAAATATCTTCGGGCAATCGAGTGAAACGTTCCAAGCACAATCTTCTTTTCGCATTCCTCGCCTAGAGCTTTTCCTATGCGCTCTTTCATTTCTCTGGCAGCTTTAACGGTAAAAGTTGCGACGATCACGTCGGCAGGTCGATAGCCAACTCTTTGAATCAGCCATACTACTCGTGAGGTGAGAGTATGGGTTTTTCCACTACCGGGACCAGCTAGAATTGCTACAGTCGATGCAGATGAAGTAACAGCTCGACGTTGCGCCTCGTTCAACGACTGAAGAATCGCATCTTGTGTGGTCAAAGTGGACATGCTGGGTACGTGGACGAATCCACGAATTGCTGTCGATTGGTCGAGGAGGATAGTATCATCGAAAAATTCTATACCCATGCGAGATTGCTCGAACGGGACTACAGCGTGGTGTTTCAGCCACCGGCGTCGCTGGTGGTGTGTTCTATTCGATCGAGGGGCTTTCGCGTTGATGAGAAGCAGGCATCTCGCGACGCGATGTCATTTTCGCGATGTCACGTGCAGTACAACGCCTACGATGTTGTAGGGTGGATAGGATCAAAACACCAAGAATATTGATCATATTTTACATCATATCATTATTGACTTCAATTAAGCACCTGTCTTGTTCTTGTTTGGTGGTTCCTTCAGGATTCTTGTGTATAACTCACATGTTTTCTCTTCACGCTTTTCAAGTATTGTGCTCATGACACTAGTCTTGCCATTCAATTTCCTTTGCAGTCATTGCGAATTCCTCCTTTAACTCTATCAATGGGCAGAAGCATTGTGTCTATGTGTCACATGCTCATCTTTCACTCTGACAGATCTCGGTATCAACTTCGTCACATCCCCTTTACGCTAAGGCTTCTCCTGTCACTATCACTGTCACGATATGCCATATCAATCACCGCTAAAGAGTGACAAACAAAAGTCCAATGCTACGGTGATGTCCCACCCTGAGAGTTCTAACAAGCCAAAAACGATACTGTGGGACACCGTTGGCATTGTTGCCCAAAAAGGTTAGACTTTGGAACATAATATTTCTCTGGATGCTGTGAAACATTGCAGTTTGTTTAACAGCCAGTGATATAAATCTATGATCGCATACTGATATTCATGAGCCGCTCTGATTTCCCTGTATAGATGCTCACCGCATAGCGCCTGTTTTGGATCTGTAACAAAACCCAACATGGTCTGAATTATGATTGTCACGTCTCCATTCAGCAATCACCAACCATATCACCAAAGTCACTTGTACAGGGTAGCATGAAGCTATAGTCGTGCGATAGTAGTGCGACTTTACACAATAGGCGCCGTGACAGGACTTTCCATTCGAGGGGATCGACACGAACATCGCTAGCAATGCCGAGCTACCTAGTGTCACACAAAGACGAGCAGCCCATTCGAGGACTTTGGCACATCACATGATGAGAGGGAGAGTGGGAAATTCCACATGGTTAAGGGCCCGACAGCCTGGATGATGCAGGCAACACACACAATTGGGCCTCAAAGTGACCCTCACTGCCTAGACTGCATCGTCTATGCCGTTAGTTGGGTGATTGAAGAGCATCGTCACCAATCGCTGGGTGAATCTGGTTGTTGATTTGACCCCGCAGATCCAGGAACGTGTGAGTCGGACAAGACCTCTCTTTGTGATGGCGAAAAGCAAGGATCGCCCCGCCCCGCTTGGGACCCTTCAACGGACGACAGAAACGAGTCAACCACAGAGAAGCTTAAAGCAAGAAAACACTGCAGTGTCTGTATCCCGGCATCTAGGATTCTAGAGCCAGCGATAGGTCATGTATGTGGGTATTGGTGGTTGGCAGTGAGAGCTACCCGCCAATCAGACGATGGCACACTATATCGCTCAGCGGTTAGCCATCCAACCACAGCTCAGAGATGGCCTCGTCACACTTGGGCCCTCACATATCGCCTGCAACCACTCTGTTGCCATCACCAAGGGTATCGAGCTATTCTCAGACGTATTCTCATGCATTCGGCCGCTATTCGACGACCGCCAGTTGACTGGCGTTGTCTGCTCAGCGACTCAGCGTCCAGCCCTGGATAGCTCAGCGGCTAACGCAGAGTGATAGACGATCATGACCCAGCCCGCTATATACCCCGTTGAGACCGCAAGTTCCCTCTTCCGTGCATGATGTTCTTCTCTAGTGTTTCGTCTCATCGTGTTCAGGAGGTCACATCGCACAAGCTGGATCCTCCATAAAGAATAAGTGTCTCGCCTTGACCTCGTTTCCCACGATGCTTCTCGAGGGTGCTCGCTACTCACTACAACTCGGTCTGCTTCTGCCTCTGTCACTCATTGCAACAGCTCAGCCTGAGCCTGTTCTATCTTCGATACTCCAAGCCCGGGACACAGATAAGCCCTTACCAGGAGGACCAATTGACACAACCTATCTGCCAGCCCAGATTGGTGGTATAATCGGAGCATACGCTGTATCATTGGTGCTGGTCGCCATAACACTGCTTGCCCTATCAAAGAAGCGGCGTGAACATATTGCAGCTGGAATTGACGAGGTCGACTTTGAAGTCCGGAAAGATATCGTCAGTCCCGACTTTCCCCCAACAGCTGTGCCTACATCTCTGAATATCATCACCGACACCGAATTTGTCAAACCGAGCTTCCAGGACTCGCACGAAGGAAATCCATACATCTATCCATCGCCGGCTTCAAGTGTTGGAGCCCCTGGAACTAATCCCTTTGTCGATCCCCGTGTTGTGGCAGTAGACAGACTCATGGCTCAATCTCAGCTTGAAGACATGTACAAGCATGTCCTGGAGCATGAGGATGCAAAGAAGCGAGGAGTCGTTTACGATGTTCCTCTGCCTCCCACTGCCCACCACCAATCACGCCCTTCAGCCTCAGCTTCCGTACTCTCTCTGAAATCTTCGACCTCCTCGCCATCGAAGAAGGAGAGGAGCAAGCCAGCAACACTCAACCTTTCTGCTTCTCGCGAGGAGAAGAGCCAGTCGAGGACATCCTCATTTCTCTCAGCACTGCGATCACCAAAGAAGAAGCAGATGAAGGGCATGAGCATCTCATCACCTCTCATGACCCCTCAATCGGGCGAATTTCCTCGCTATGAAGGACAGGAGATGAGCGCGATTCCTCCCCGGCATTATGCTCCGGCAGCTCCTCCTCCGGTCCCCACCAATCAGGTCCCGTATGGTTCACCAGCCCTCCCGCCCAAGGCCCATGCGTCTCTTCCGACCCCGGATATCTCGCCCGAGAGTGTTTTGAGCATCGATGAACGTATTGGAAGTCAACTTCCTTATCCTGGCCACGCCCGTACCGTATCGCATGCACCCAGCGAGCGTGATCCCGAATCAGCAACATCGGAACACTCTCAAGCACCACTGGTCGGCCTGCCATCGTCTCCCAAGCCCGGTTCAAGGTTCCCATCTCTTCCTGCGTCACCCAAGCCCGGCCAGACATTCCACCGTGCCAACGCACCTTCAGCTGTGCGCACTGGTGGTTCTCTACCATTGCGTGCCTACGAGCCTGCCATGGTTTCACCAAATACCATTGCGAAGACTACCAAGCAGACTGTGTTTGAGAGGAAAGGACCACTATCACCAAGCGGAGCAATGACTCCGCACACAGCTGGTGCAGTACCTTATTCGCCTTATCAGCCCTTCACGCCATGCATGCCTGTGACACCTTCACTTGTAACCAGGGAGGATCGGAAGAGAATGAAGCGCATGGTACCTAAGACACCGACGCTGGAGATGGTTCAGAGTTCGGATGACGTTTGGTAAACGAAATGATTGGAATTTATAATTATTTAACAGGGTCTACATTGCATTATTTCTTTTGATGTCGTTGATATCAAGACTTAGGGGTTTACTTGGTTAGGGTTTAAGTTACAGTATTTGGTTAGAGCTGGCCCACGGGCTTGCGGGGATTTAGTAACGGCCGCAAGGACCAGAACTTTACTATCTGCATAAAATATTCACTTGTATATCATTTATTTCTGTCAAACCGATTTCGTTTACGAGTTCACGTTGTTTTCAAACGTGTAACGTCACACAACAGACGCGGTGTTTTCCATCTATCGTTACCCAGGCCCAGGCGCTAATATCTAGTATCAAGTTTACGATCTCAAGATCTTGAATCGCCAATCGGAACAATTAAGAAGATGCATGTGATGATACTTAAAAAGCGACAAGCGTTAAAACTAGAGGGTGACGCAGGGTTGATCGTTTGATCATCGGGATGGATTGGGGATAGCTAGGAGGAGAATTCAATATTGGGATCACGATCATTTGGCGGCGGCGGGGACCATCTCGAGAAGCGAGGATAGTGGCACAGAAGCTGAAAGCTGAGTCCAAGACATGCAAGAATAGCCTGCGCTGTGTAACCCGAGCAGATCTTCTTGTTCAACGCGGATTGGCAGGGCGTCAAATAGTTCGGTATTTGTATGTAGCTATCCGTCGGACAGTACCTGAGAGGGTTGCACCAGACGGGACATGGCAGATTCGAGGGATTGATATCCAGGTTTTTTCGGATTCTTCACAACGAACTCGTCTTGGCGACCGTTGTAAAGCCATTTAATTGGATATGGGATACCCAAAATGCTCCCGAATAACCGTCGCCTGGTTCTGGCCTTTTGCCGGCTGGAATGTGATAACTGAGTTCCTGTGAACCACGGGACGCGAGACTGAGACTCGCGTGGCTAACCCGAGACAACTCGAGTAGCACCACGGTTTATGTTTTGTCTTTGGACAGTGAGATTTTGACAATAGTGACTGAGAGAGATATCATCTATGTATTACGACTCGATTATGAGGGTAATTCTCTGCGTCATGAGTCGAGTTCAATAACACAAACTTAACTCCTTTGGCGTCCTGGCGTTCTCGAGGGTCCACCCCCCCATTCCAATTTGATCAAACAAAGTTGGTTTGTGCTTGACGGGTTACTGGATTTGTGATTGCGTGCACAGTGCAGACAGCACCCTAGACCCGAATGCGAGAGGGGTAAACCTCTAACTAAAGTGGACCGTATCCTCCAGATCGCCAATACTGTACGGTTCAAGCCGTAACGCCCCCTCGCCTGGAGATTCATCCCGTGCCAGTTGCTGGGCTTAGTGAGTACGCCACCAAAAGTCATTGACGTTCTGCACTGTATTTAGAGTACCTACGTACGGCAAACACTCAAATACTAGTGGATCCCCTGAACTCATCACTCCAGTCTTTCGTACAAAAGACGAGCTTGGCCAAGCGCGGACTTGACTAGGCGTCACTGGGCTGATATCCAGGTTCCATCGTACGATTTTCTGCCCTCTTCTCAAACTGAATTCCTTGCACCCATCGCTCGCCTCCGAATCATCACCCAAATCGCTTATTCTCCCATCAGCAATTTTAACTGCTACTCGTTGCCAGTCGAACCATAATCGCGAGACTGCGCTGCTCTTCCCTTGCTGTAGAACCCCTGTACTGTCCTTTCTCACCCGTCGACCGTTCGGCAACACCCGTTCAATCATTCGATCACAGAGCCATTGAGACAACCATCGATTCATTCTGTGGTTGCAGCACGCCCTCACCACCGAATCTCTCTATCTTATCCACCGATTGATCGCCTTAGCAGAGGCTATAGGCCTGCCGACTATTACAGGCTGACCCTCAGCACAGCCTGTAGCTGTAGCTGTAGTTGTAGCTGCCACTCTAGCTGGAGCCATAGCCAGTAGCTGAGGCCATCGCGGTCAAAGTCCACTCTTCGGCCGAGAGACTCAATTGAACAGGCCACGCCGGGGATAGAGGCCAATTCAACCCAACTGGAACTGGTCCTGCACCGACAACATCGACCCTTGCTCTTAGTATCGTCGGCCAAAGGCCCTCGTCTTCCCGAAAGGAAGGCCTCGCTCAACCACGGCGACTCCTTCGGGGTCACCCCAAGCACTGGGGCTCTCAATCAGGCCATCGCAACTGCATTGCATGGTGCTGGCCCATCCCCATCATGCCCGGCTCCCGCTTCTCCGACATGGCCGACCATGATTCTACCAACAACCTCTATGGCCTCCAAGATCCGAATCTAGGTGCTTTCATTGATGATGGCTCGGTCGTGAAATCCGACCCCTCCTCAGCCTCCCTGCCCAACGATTCCTCCCGTCCCCAGACCCAGCAGCAATACTACAACGCTGCATGGCAGTTCACCGGCACGCCCCCTTACGACTCGTACGACCCCTCTAGCAGCACCGCACCTCCTGCTCAAACCACCTATCAACCTTCACCTTGGAATCTCGCTTTCGGCCAGGATCAACAGAACCTTCAACAGCTTCCCATCTCTACCGGCATTGACGGCCTTCCGGCAACCTCTCTCAGCTCCGAATCAATCTACGCCGCCTCAAATCCTTCCCTGCGACAGCCTAGTTTCAGCGACAACGCCGTTCTTCAGCCAGCCCTTATCAGTCATCTGACTCCTGCTCTGCAGGAGAAGCTGCGCAATATCGCCATGCCACCACATCTTCAATACCACTCCCCCAGGAGCGCCTCTAGCCCGGACTCAGCAAATGGCGAACTCAGAAGGGGTATTTTTTCGTCACCGGATCCCGCCGATGGATCTTCGAAAGCATCGCGAAAGCGCAAGTCTTCCGCTGACCCCGAGGATGAAGAGGAAGAGGACGAGGATGGCGATCAGCCAGTGAAGAAGACCGCCCATAACATGATTGAGAAGCGATATCGAACCAATCTGAATGACAAGATCGCCGCTTTGAGAGATAGCGTTCCCAGTCTTCGCATCATGTCGAAGAGCGCGCGAGGTGAAGACACGACTGAAGATCGCGAGGAACTCCATGGTCTGACCCCAGCTCATAAGCTGAACAAGGCTACAGTACGCTGTGCTCTTCTAGCGATTTAACTCATGCTAATCATTGGACAGGTTCTGAGCAAGGCGACTGAATATATTCGACATCTTGAGAAACGTAACAATCGGCTGCTCGACGAAAATGGTGCCATGCAAGCCCGAATTGCCGCCTTCGAAAAACTTTTCATGGCCGGGGCGATGAATGGCGCCATCAGCCCTCTTCAGCAACCACCTACGCCAATCCAATATGCACAGGATACACAACAGTTTGTCGGGGGCCCGTCACAGGACGGCAACGCACAGCCAGGAGGACTGATTCAAGTTCCCGATGATATGAAGAGAATCATTTCGCAACAAATGGCTTCTGGTCAACCATATCCTGTACCCCAGCAACAGTTTCGCGGTGGAAATCCCGCGCTCATTCGACAGCAGCAGCTTCAACAGCAACAGCAAATGCAGCAGGGTCGTTGGAATAATGCCGGCCCTTACTTTGGTAAATTGATGGTTGGCTCACTGGCCGGTCTCATGATTCTGGAGGCGATGCATGAGGATGAAGTCAGCAATGAGAAGCCTGAAGGTCGTGGTTTGTTCGCCATGCCTATTCAGCTTCTGAAGAGTGCAGCGAGCGACCTTGACTTGACTGTTGGAGGCTATCATCTGCATACTTCCCTCCGAATTATTCTCCTACTTGGAACATTCCTTTGGGTGTTTGCTCCTTCACTATTCACACAAGGTTCACAAAAGTCGAAGAAACCACAAGTCGGGGTCCTTCAGGCAGCGCCATCGCTCGCTTCGCCGATTCATGTTCGCCGACAAGCTTGGCTTACCTCTATCCAGACCGTATGGGTCCCTCGTCACAATTTCTTTCTCGAGGCGGCAGCTCTCATCTTGAAGACCCTCAAGCTCAGCCTCCGAAATGCAATTGGAGTTCATGGTTATCAAGCAATCACCGGTTTGACTCAGGAGCAGGAAACCGCTCGTGTCCAGGCATGGAGTATTGCCCTCGACTCGCAGTTGGCTGGCGGCGACGTTGAGATCAACAAGAGCCGTCTTATTCTCACTCTCCTTGCTTCCGGCACTCTCCCCGACACTCCTGCTAGGCTCATGCTCAAGGCCCTCCATATTCGCGTTCTTCTCTGGGACCTGAGCCAGAACCGACTTTCACTTGGGGCAATCAACCTCATTGCTGCCAAACTTGCTCGCAGCAAGTGGAATGAGGCCCGCCAGCTGAATCGTCTCCTTACCCAACTTCACCGCGAGTCCTCCGAGCAGCATGACGACGATTTGCCCGAACATCTCGCTCTTTTGGTTGAACAAGACTGCGATGAAGTGCTCAACGACGATGTTATCCAGCGAGCACACAACCTGGCTTTCAATACCGATACTGACTACAACGTTGTGACCCCTATGGATGGCATGGATTCTGTTGTTGACGATACCGCTATTGGATCTCCTCTTGATGCTGTTGCTGCCTGGTGGTCGACCCAATTCCTACACCGAACTTTGGTCGCCACATTGGAAAAGGACGAAGAAACGCTCAGCACTAAGGTAGAAGACATCGAACTCACCATAAAGGCTGCACCCTTGGGGTCAACCGCGCAGGCTCGGGCAATCGTGGCACGAGCAGTTCTCGTTGATAAGGCACGCGGCGCTAACATCGCCTCTGCCTTGCAATCAATGGGCAACGAAAAGGTCGATGCTCTCCTGAGCTCTTCCATTTGTGTCGTTGACTCAAGCTTCCAGGCTTCTACTCCCGATCTACGACTTGCCCTACGATGCGCCATGGCCATCGCCCACCTCCGACGCGTCGAATGCACCCCTGGAAGTACTCACCAAGGACTCCGTATGATTGAGTCAATCATGACCCGTGGCAACGCCCCGCAGATGTCTCTGATTGGATGCACCGCAACCCTCGAACTGATGGAGGAGCTCTACGAGCACAAAGCAGCAGCTGAGACCTTCCAGGCCTCTCTTGAGCGACTATCTGGTGGTCTTCGCCTATGGATGGGAGGATCTCCCGGGGAGAAGTGTGGCGTTGCTTCTGATGTACGAGAGAAGGTCGTTAGCCGGTGCCTGGCCATCAACAAGAGCATGGTGGGAATCGATTCGGATACCGGCTACGGAAGCCTCGATGAATGTGAAGACGACGGATGTTAGACGACCAGGAGCAATTATCCCTTTGATTTTTTTCATTGTTATAAGCGACATACACCCCGATACACTTTTCTGCCACTCCATTTGAGCACCTCTTCACGATCTATTCTGCTTGTTGCCCTTCCGAGATGACTATCTGTACGAAAACGGTTATTAGATTGGTGGGAAATCCTGGCGCTTATCATTCAATGAGTTTTAACTTGGCGACGGGTAAAAGGACAATCAAACAGTACATGGCGAAGGACATATTATTTTTAACGGACTTTCTGACGGACTCAGCATACGCGAAGTGTGTTGAAGTGTTTTGACAAACAACGATATTTTTCCTTATTCTCATTCAAAGTACATCATTATGGCTCAATTCCCTGCTATCACGTGTGGTGATATCTGCTGCTGAGTGGCGTAGTGAGCGGCCACAGTGGTTTAACAGAGGACTTGAAAGCGATCTCAATATTAGATATCCGCAGAGTAACAGTAATATGAGTCTTGAAGGACCTTGACCAAAGTTGACGCAGACTCATCGTGCTTTTTCATAGGAATGGGAGGAGACTTTGACTGAGTTGGAACTTGCAAATTCTAGAAATCAAAGGAAGCTTGACCAGGATTGAGAACAGTCCTACAGACAAGACTTTGAAGACACAGATGATCTCGAGCGGGCTGAGGACACTGAGCAGTAAGTCCCAAACATGCTGGACTCCTGGTCTTACTCAAGTATCCTCTTCATCGTCCCCATCCTCATTCTCAGAACCTCCAAGCTTTTCGAACAAAGGCTCAGACACTTCAAAAATCTCACCAATCTCCTGGGGGCTCATAGTGTGGTGAAAAGATAGGAATCTGAAGAGACCTTTGGGGTAGAGTGAAGTATCTGTACCGCTGACAGTTGAAGTACCCTGAATAAGTCGTTTCAATCGTCTAAACGGAGTGAAAGTGCACGGTCTGTTGAATAACGAGCAGTGCTTGCAGACCCAGACGTCGTTTCGAGACTCATCTCTAGTGCAGGCCTGAACCCTACCACTGAGCATGTCGATTGCGGTACAAGAGTCGCATTTGAAAGCGCCTACTCTGACGTCCTCCTCCGACCAATTCAGTGCACCATGACGAACTTTCATAGGATCCGACGGCCCAACGAAAGTCATCTGTTCATTGGACATTTCATCGAACAAGTCATTGCCAAAGTTCTTTACCATGAGCTTGTAGTTGTACCCCCAGCTGGCTTTGGCTGGGGCTGGACGGGTAACTCGTTGCTGAGAAACCCAACGGTATTTCTGATTGAGGTGATCAGTCTGGAGCATCTGGACGTTCCCCATGGTGAGTGATTGTGGAAACCCATTGAGAGGTTCAGTATACACAATTCCCTCGAAGGCCTGGATCAGTTTCATAGCAGCTCTGTACGCCTCTATGGCGTATTCGGGGTCAGGACGTGTTGGATCGTATCTGAGGTGCAGGTAGGGGCGTTGGAGGTACACTGTATACCATCGACCGTCTGCCTGCCATTCAAATCGGAGGGCAATGCAGGAGCCTTCGTGGAAATTCTCGAAAGGTCCGACACTTGGGCATCCGACGAAAGCTCTGGGATGGGGTTGCCTGTCATTCATGATTTCGGCCACCAGATAGCCGCTCCGGACGTCTGGTCTGAGCCCGGTGATGCCCTCAGGATCATAAGGCAGGGGGATGCTCATCTTTTCAACGGCCCTATGGCCGTCTGATAGCCCGAAATAAATGAATAGATAGTGCCCCTGGCGAGATTCGGCGATGTTCTCTCTGATCAAGACGTTCCTTCCCATTCGATATGTTGTGAAGGCCTCGGCAAATGGACCGCCGCGTGTTGCCATCGGTATGCAGTGAAGATGAACTTGGTACCGCTCCTCCAACAGCGGAGACGATACGTTCAACCCTTGGCCGTTCAGTCTAGGCCAGTTTACCTGCGAACGAACTGCTCTGGCCGTGTCAGAGAATAGACGAGCACGGCGTTGAAGCATATATTTCATCGCATTCCCTGGGGTAGCGGCAAAAATCCAACGGGCTTCGGCTCTTAAGGCATTCAACATCACCTGCTCAGCCATGTTCAGCAGAATACTAGAAATAGATCGATCTTCAAAAACCAGCAAAGGAATTGTGTGTCGGTCTTCAGGGAGTGACTTCACGGCAGTATTGTAGTGCGTCTTGCCATGAGCGGGAACATGGAATTCGATGTTTCTTTCATGCTCTAGGTGGCGAACCCAGGCTTGCCGGGATTGACCGACATAGACCCCCACGTACTGATCTATATCAGCCTGCGCCTCATCGCGGGATTCGTCCTCTGGTTGGTCTTCCGGGTCGGTATAGATTCGCACATAGATACATGGTCGATCGCCAGGCCAGTCAATTGACGCATGGCGGATCTCAAGAATGTTCTGTAGAGAAAACCTTCCATCCTCGAGCGTCTGCTTTGCTTCGGGCAAGATTGCCTCCAAAAGAGCATCCACGTTGTTGTCCAAGTTGCTCCCCATGAAAAGCTCATCTGCTTCGGACGGAGAAAGTCCCAGCAAACGCAGATCCCCCTGCTGCCTTGAGGTTGATAGAACGAAGGAACGAATGAATTTTTGTAAAGCCCTGTCATTAGGGTGACTCCGAATTGACACTTGTGGTTCTCTTGTCGGGCCAAGTAGATCAGTCGTTTGCTGTGTGAGATCACGGAAGGGCCTTCCTTCGACAACGATACTGCTAGGCAGAACGACTGGTAGGTAACAAAGATCAGTGAAATCCAAGGGGCGCTGTCAAGCTTACTCACCAGGTATCTGCAAAGCTCCTTTGAAGATCAAGACCAGGACATCACTGTTGATTGGATTCCGGCCGAACAGATAGCCCATTTCGCCCTTCCATATCATCAGACGCTCACCATCTTTGATCTGCCTGGGTATTCTTCCACGGATGTTAGATGGTACACTGTCTAGTGTATCAACATATCCGTAGTCTATGGCGACGATCACAGCTGGGAGGTTTCTAATGGCGCCTACCGAAGGCCATGGGACAGTCGGAGCAACTCTCAGGAGAGGCTGCTCGACCGTGGTGGCGAGCGACATGCTGGGTTCTTGGATTTGTGTGTCAAATAACGACAAGAAAGATTCTGGAGATGAGGTTGCAAGGAGAAAAGAATTTGAGGAGGGCTGAGAAGGGCTTTATATAGATTTCTGTAGAGGCTGAATCACACACACAAGTGTTTGCTTTATTGCTACCAAACCTACGCTGTGAATCAATCATTGCTTGTGTTTGGCAGTGACAAACATGGCCCAACTACAAACGCTAAAGCTTGTGTTCATTGTTACACATTTGCTACCTATTGTTATACCTCCGAGGTGACTCATTGCTCCGATATAATGATAGTGAATTAATGTAACTACCTTGGCGTTTTACAAGGCGGCCCGGAATGCTTAAATCCATGGACCTAACTTGGGTTATCGCTTTCCCTTCGATTTGGATGTATGGATCACTTGTCAGCCTAGCAGGGCGTTATCGCTAACCTGCCTCCAGTATCGTCGAAGCGAACCTCATCATTACCTGTGCGACGATGCCTACGCTCCGCAAGTTCTTCAAACATGTTGCTCCCAAACTCATCGGCGAGTCACGATATGGAAGCAAAACAGGAAAATCGTCAAAATATGGCAAGCCAGATACAGGATCCAAGCCTCCGAGTCGACCATTTGTCCCGTCTTCCCGGGGACGCCGTGACCGAACACAATATTCACAATTCGATGGCGATGAGAACCCTATGCCCGATAACTTTGCTCTAGGACCTATCAATGGGCGCGTGGGACACAATACCAGCGTTGGTCAGAGCGAAGAGGTAACGGGCTGGATCGATAGTGATTCTGAGAAGGGGATCGTTGGGGGGACGATCAAGCCAGCCATTGTGCAGACGAAGACGGTGACGGTGGAGTATGATTGATCATTGTGATATCGATCGATGATAGAAAAGGCGTGGATAAGGTCTCGGGGATTGCATTAACAATAATTGTATGGATAGGAACTTTCGCTTTAGATACCACTTTAGTAATGATTTATTTCATCTCAAGACTCTGCCCAGCCGAATTCCCCCAAATGATACTATCGAAGATTACTAAACATAAATACATGGAAACCGTTGTACGTCAATTGCGTCTGTCAAATTGTGTGATAGATAACGTAGAACTAGTTCCCGCTGGTGGTATGATTATCCGTGACCTACCTAGTAACAACTGGCTTGGGTATTGTATTCCACTACAGAGTACTAAGCTGTCAACTGCCGCAGGTTGACAATAATTAGTGAAAGCTCTCACATGGAATCCTTAAGGACGATGCTCTAAACAGTATGTAATTTCAACAATACAGCTCAGGCATCACCTCTCCTTTCTCCTTGACTTCGAACTGATACGGAACATGTGCTCCGAAGAAGCTCAAGATCAACGCCTTTCTTTCAACCTGACTCAATATTGAGCCAACGATAAAGAGTCCGAGGATCTGACACCTTGGCTGAGTTGATGCCGCCACCATCCAACCAGAGATTGCAACTCCGAGTTGCATCACTGCAACCTCAAAGTTGAGCCCCAAAGAAAGCGGCAGATTGATCTTCACCCCTGACCAAACCAAGCCTGGTACATAACCAGATAACCCACTACAAAATCACCTTCCGCTTTCGAAGACGCCGTCTCTTGGGGATCAGCATCCGTGCGGTACGGTCCTAGTCAGAAGGAAATCCTCTTGCAGAAAAGTCGTCACCGTTTTCTCCCTGCCAGGGCGACAAGAAAGCTTAAGGACTTTATCCTAAATAATGAAAATACTTAGGTAAGTTTAGTACATTTTAGTAGAACTTTATACCAGCTTATTCTAACACCTTCCTCCTTATTGGAACCTATGTCCCACTGAGTTCTCACTGAGTGCTTCTTCGGAAGAGAGGGAGGCAATTTGGTTACGTACAATTTATAGCCAGGTACAGGGGAAGATCTCAATGTTACTCTGCGGAACGCGTCGATCTTGGCGAAGGATGATGACCCCTGCTACGGTAAACTCGCGGATGGTTCCGTCGGATATAGACTCAATGAGCAAAGACAGAGAGGTACAGGGTATATTGATTTTCATGGGAGTTTGGAAATATCAAGAATTGACGTTTCTGCCCTTCCAGTTATTGTGTTATCAGGTAAAGGAAGACTAGTTTCATATGAGTTGATTGAAGTAAATCCTAATTTTGGTTGATTTTTGTTTCTTTAACTTGCTTGTAGTGCTCCAGACTACGGAGCATATCCTATGTTTCTCCTACCAATACATCACCACTTTTACAACTTCGCAGACAGAGCCCATCTCTCCTTAATAAGATCAGCAGCCTTCTCGCCAATTCCATAAGCAGGCATCTGTGTATGACCGTTGTTCACAGTTGGCATTATCGAACAATCAGCGACTCTCAACCCCTTAACACCATAGACCTGTAGCTTCTCATCCACCACAGCCATCCGGTTATCCCTCTTGCCAGCGGCACACGATCCACTGGCATGATAGCAAGTCGTAGCATTATCCTTGACGTACTCCTTCCAGTCCTCGCGCGTCTTGTACTTGTGGTGCACAAGATCTGAGGGCCATGAACCCTTGACAATGTCCTTGGTGCCCGATCCCTCGGTGATGATCTCGTTGCCAAAGGCGCATGCTTCAGCGAGGACTTCGAGATCGAGAGGGTCAGAGAGGTAGTTGCAGTCGACGACAGGGACAGAAGTTGGCGAGGCGTCGCGGAGAGTGACGGTGCCTCGGGACTTGGGAGCGAAGAGCTCGGCGATCATACTGAAAGCATGTTTGTTGTCGATGGGGAATTGGTCGTACTGCTTAGGGCCGCCATAGCACTCAGTGGTAAAGAACTCGATCTGAGGCTGCTTGGGAGTAAGGCCCATAGGATCGCGGCCTTCTTTGCGAGGGGCTGCATTCCAAATCTTAGAGTCGGCGAGACGCTCATCTATGCGAGCGTAGGCAAAGATTCCGAATGGGAACACTGTTAGAGGGCCCTTCTTCTCCTCCTTCCATTGCTTATAGGCCTTTTCTAACGCATTACCGTGGTACACTAGAGAGTCAGTGGTGAGCCCCCCCTTGTCAGTCTCGTAGAACATAAAGACGATCAAGTGATCCTGGAGGTTCTTTCCAACGCCGGGAAGATCGACGAGAGTTGTGATACCGTGCTGCTCCAGCTCGACCTTTGCACCGATGCCTGATCGGTTGAGGACGTTGGGCGAGCAGTAAGCACCGGAAGATATAATGACCTCTTTAGAGGCCTTGAGCTCAACGACTGATCCATCGGCCTTGACTGCTCGAACACCAGTGGCCTTCAACTCTCCGTGGCCGTCCTTCTCAATGATAACCTTGTCAACATGTGTCTCGACCATGAGGTGTAGGTTTTCTCTGGGTTTCTGCCTGGTGATGAAGTCTGCGCTAGTGGTACGAAGGCCTTGGTAAACTGTTCTGACAGAGTGGCCGCACCCGTGGGGTCTCACACCCGCTGAAAACATATCGTGGTCAAGAGGTAGACCCTTTGATACCATGGATTCTCCGATCAAGTTGGAGATAGGAGCCAAGTCATGAGGCTCGGTGTGGACATGACCTTCATAGCCATGGGCGCCCTTGGTCTCCTTGAACCAATCTTTTGTGTGAAAGTTCTCAGCCTGTACCAAGTCAGTAATTGTATCTGAAGAGATGCATCAGTGGGAACGTTGATATGGTTCCCTTTCACTTAGGCACATACCTTGAGCATATACTTGAACATATCATCACCACTCCATCCGGGCAGGTTCCAGTCATCATAATCTTGTTTCTACGCAGGTTAGAATCTAGTACTAATTAATTGACAATCATCAAGGGAGCTCACCATTCCCTTAACCATAAGAGTGCCATTGACGCCAGAGGAGCCACCAAGGAACTTGCCTCGGCTAAGCTTCACAGAGCGGTTGTTGATACCAGGGCCAGGTATAGAGACGACATTCCAGTCTGTCTCCTTGTCAAAGTTGTTAGACCAACTAAAACAATGCGTTAGTCAATGTTTTTATAAACAGCTACGGATACAGGAGCAGGGGTACTTGCCCTCCAACCATGTGAACGTCCTCAAGATGCTCATTATGGGGACCAGCCTCTAGAACGAGAACCTTGACATTAGGATCCTCAGCGAGGCGTGCTGCCACGACGCAGCCTGACGTGCCACCACTATAAATGAGGTTAGTTAACCAATAATAGTCTTGGGCTTGAACCTTAGTTATGAGTGCGGAACTTTACCCGCAGATGATGAAGTCGTAAGTAGAGTCTGGAGCAGCAGCAGCAGCCATGTTTGTGTTATTTGTTTACTGAAGAGACAATCTGCCAAAAATATAAGAGAAAAGTTATCAACGAAGAAGTCAAATTGATGCCAGTAGCGCCTCTGTTACTTATATACATGACATTACCCGAGGTCCACTATCATCAAGGCTGTCTATCGAGCCACTCAGAACCGGAAATTCGGAAACCTTGTCACTCAAACAACAGGAGGATTCCGGTTATGTAGCAGCTAAGCATTAGGTCCATCATACCATTCCTAATAAAGGCAGTTGAGAGGTTCAGATGTTGCTGGTCTGGTGTGTTGTGCTCTTAGATCCTGGTTCTAGACAAGGACCCTGAATAGTCTCAGTTGAACCAACAGCATGAATATGGCCGCAGGTTATGCACCAAATTGTGGGTTCATGCTTAAAGAGATAGGGGGAGTTTCTCTGAGAGGCATTTACCCACCCCGCTGTCTGATATGTCGACGCAGGCTAGAGCGAGTCCTCAACTCTTCTGGAGCATCCAATCGGGGATGTCTCCGCCCTTTTCAAAGATTGCCCTACGGATCCGACGTTGCAGTGCAAGGACTTTGCATTTGCATCAGAGAAGGAGAAAGGAGAAAGGAGAAACGCCGGGTCTAATAAGTCTCCTTGTCCCCTTATTGCAACGCGTTCCGCGGATGGAGCTTGGGAGCTTGGAGCTGGGTGAGTGTACATATATGGGCCTAGCAGGGTACAGCCATGCAGCTGCAAGAGAACAGGCAACAGGAAGTATCACATTGCCCAAGATCATGTCTCATCCCCGGCCAAGGACCTAGAAGCCCTGACGACGCTTAGCTTGGGCGGGGCGGAACTAGTTCCACTCCCGCTGCAGATCACCGCGGCTAAAGGGCATCAGTGGAGAGGATTGGCCGCTAGACATGCTGAAATTGCTGTTAAGTTTCTGTTCTAGCGGGGTAGAGCTAGGGGCAGCTAGGGGCTTGGGAGCAACGTTGTAAGGTTTTGCCTCTAACAAGTGCTTGGAGTCTGGTATGTACATACATACATACATAGTCAACGACGTTAGTACTGGCCTTTACCAATAGACAGGTTGAGTGATTATCCTTGTAGACACTAGAAACTCACCGTTGACCGTTCTAATTTATCCCCACAGACACACTATCATCATCTTGGTCAAGGGCCTCGAGTTATGACCAGGGCTGCCCTGCCTTGGGAATGTTTTTGACCAACCAACAACACCGGCCGGGGTTCTGTGAGACTGTGGACCTGCATATGCAGTCAACCATGTTCTTTTCCGTAGCAGAAGAAGAAAAAAAAGCAAAGAAAAGAAGTGCTCGCAAGTTCTTCTTCAATGGAAGACCTTGAAAACTTAGCGGAGTCAAATTGACTCGTACATGACTGTGCCGTAGAGATCAACAAGACCTCGAAAAGATACTGGATGACTGTACGAGTTGAGTACACAATATGAATGCTCATCAACATATCCCAAGTCATGCATCAGGGTTGCCAAGTCTCCCCGGTCCACTATACCCAGCGTCTTGACAAGGTAGCACTCCTCCTACGACGGCGTCAATCCTCAAGTGAGCCATGGGATGGCCAATGCCTCTTACACTCTGCCAAAAGGGGGCGTCAGATCCTGCATCTGCATCTGCTAATTCATGTCAACTTCACAAGTCACATATCACACCTACATATGCCGGCCAGGCCTGCCATCTCCTCATCTCCATCTCTATTCCCCGAGGCTGTCACTCCTGGTCTGCATACGTTGTCTCGATTCTATTAGACAACTCTTGCAAGCTAAGGCTCTTCATTATCAACCAAAATGGCAACACCCTTCCAGACTGAGGCCTGGACGGAATATGGTCTTGGCACACTTGTCTTGTTTTTACGATACTTTGCAAGATGGAAAACAGTTGGCTTCAAGGGATATCAAGGCGATGATTACTTTGCTCTTGCAGCCCTTGTCTTCTGGACGGTATGCCGCTTCACTCTCCTTACCAAGTCATCCTTGCTAACATAGGCACATAGTGCGAGTTGGTCATGTTAGAACTTATCGGTAAAAACACCTGCAAATTGTGTCGGTTCAACTCGAAGGATCACTAACCCTACAATAGGTCAGTCTGGTACCAACATTGGCGTTACCGACGAGATGGGCGCCAAGATGTCAGCTGCAGAGATAGCCAAGCGCGAGTTTGGATCGAAATGTCTCCTTGCAGGATGGAACTTTTACGTGACTCTAATCTTTACCCTCAAGGGAGTGATGCTCTGCTTGTATAGCCGCATGACGTACGCAGAGCCTCGATTCAATGTTGATACATGCTAACAGAGCTCTAGGCTTGGTCTCTGGCAGAGAAAGATTGTTATCTGGACACAAGTCGGAACAGTTATTGCTTACATAGCAGTAATGGCTGCTATTTGGGGCCATTGTACGCCTGTTCACAAGAACTGGCAAGTTTATCCCAACCCTGGTGGTAAGTGTTGTCCTGACTGAACCGACTTCCGATTCTAACAGGAGTAGACACTTGCACCCTCGCCGTAGCGAATTATCTTACGCTGGTAGTGTTTAATATTGTGTATGTTATCGTTATCTAGGTATTCAAACTATGACATTTGATCTAACTCGCGAACCCAGAACCGATATAGCCATCGTGTCCATACCAGTCCCTCTACTATGGACTGTAAAGCTCACCATCAAGAGGAAACTAATGATTGGAGTTCTCCTTTGCTCTGGTGTTTTTATCATGGCCGCAACACTGTTGAGATGTGTGTTCTCGCTACGGTTAGTCCCTCCCCCGAGGCATAGTTCTTGGTGTTTTGCTAACAGCCCAGGGATATCCAAGGCATCAACACATCGACAATTTGGGCAATTCGCGAAACCTTTATCGCTATCCTTGCAGTGAACGCTGCTGCTATAAAGCCTTTGTTCTCAGCTTCTCGATGGCTCGTGTCGAGCAAAGGAAGCAGTCGGGACAAGGGAACGAGCAGCTACATCAACAAACACGGCCACCCACTCGGAACAATCGGTGGATCAGGTATCTCTGGTGGTATCTCTGCGAACCGACATCAAAAATACATGACACAACTCGACGACAATTCGAGCGAGGAACATATTGTTGGGAGGCCAGAGTTTGTGGGATACAGCAAGCCCGAGGTCAGGGCTGGCAGCACAACAAGTGGACAGAGTGATAACCAGGATGGCATTATGGTTACCAGGACCTACGAAGTTACTCCTGGAAAGTCTACACTGGATGTTTAGGGGATTTGGATTATGGAGTTACAGGAAAAAGGCAATACCTAGTATGGAGGAAGTGTGGGAAACACATGTAATTATTGTAATATACCAATAAATCCATCAATTCAGCACTCAACAGCTGTTTCAACACATGTAAAAGTCTGATTAAAGGTTCGCCTTGTTAGAATGCAGTTCTCAAATTACGGTGCAAAGCTCTGCTTGCCGCGAAATTACTCATATCTTCAGCTTCAGGTAACCAAGCTAGCGGGACCAGCAAACTATTCCAACAACGTCAGGTCCAGGAATTGGCCGTGCTGAAATCTGAATCTACAGGTGGCGTTGCTCTGTCTCGGTAGCTGGACTACCGGTAAACTAAGGAATTAACTAGCGCTGCCTAAGCACGGTCTTTGAGGTTGTATTAGTCGTATCCTAAACCGTCTAATTACCGCCGACTACGTAAATGAAACAACCCCTGATTGACGTTAGGGAGCCTTTGCCGCGTTACGCCCGGCTCCAAGACCAAGACCACTCTTGACACATGATTGAGTTTACATACATAGTGACATCCGGTTTCCGAGGCAGAGGCACGTTTCCAGGCCGAATCCTACTGCAAGGGGTTCATATACCCTCCCCTGCTAGGATCAGTAACTAACCCCTGAGGATTACGTACCTGGTTGTCAGATTTGGTTTTCCTTTTGTCCGACGAGTTGGGATATGCCAAGCAATACAGTACAAGATCTGATCGCAGAAGCAATAAGTAAGACATGCAGCATGAGATCAATTAGTGAGGTGGCATTACGTATTGTGTTGGCAGCTGTCGTCAATCGGCATTCAACTGTTTGGCAGTTCCAAATTTGGTATCCAGCTCATGGCACTGAACCTCTTTGGAAGAGTAGGGCTTAATCCGGTGGGTATTCTCCAAGTCATGTCCAAGAACAAATGCCATTGCTAAGGCACTAGTTGCAAATCATGAATCTTGGCAGCTTGAGTCTGTGGTTTCGTGGCTCTTGGTGGACTTTGGTCAACAGCTAGTCCACGGACTAGACTCGTAAGCTTGGCAAAGATCATGATGTTTCTCATGCCTGACTCAAGTGCCAAGAAACAAGTTGTAGGTTCCATGGTGAGGGGTGCTATATTACTCGTCTTTGACTTATGTTGAGTTGTGGCTTGTTACTGGCAGTCACGAGACTGTGATATGTTACTCAGAACTGTTGAGCTTACACAAGCTAAGCACATACTATCTTGAGTCTCCACGTGAAGCTAAAGAAGACGCTGTAGGGACCTCATGGTGGTCTGGGCCAGCCTTCTAATAAATGGCTTCACCAACACTAGTCTCGGTCTCACTTTCAGACTACTTGTTAGTTACGTTTCATAAGCTATTGGCTGTGAATATGAAGTGAAGGAGACGTAACTAGATGTCTGCTTCAAGTAGATATTAAGAAGGAAGCGAATTTGCAACTATCAATTACTTATGATATAGATATCATAAATCTAGTAAATGTTGCCACAAGTTTAGGACTAGGAAGCCTAAGTTTAGACTAAGTAGGATCAATCTATCATAATGAAAGAAGGTCAAATTGATCAACCTGCGTAAAGCTGCTCGAAGTTATGTCCAGAAAAAATTGCTAAACCATTGAACGTGCTCCTTAATAAACGCCATTTCATATCTACATCGCCTTATCCACACGAACTCAACCCCAGACATCCTCAAGCCACTTATTTCCCTTCTTTGCCGCTTCAGCCCAGCTCGTAGCTTCAGCCTCGCTCCAATTATTCTGCGTCTTCATTGACTCTTCCACCACGTTGCCAACTTCTCTAGCCATTGAAGCCCGACCGCAGAAGTAGATACTCGCACCATCTCGAAGAAGATCACATACATCCTTCTTCCTCTCCTCAACTTTGTCTTGGACATACTTCTTTGGCTGCCCATCTGCACGTGAAAACGCGGTAACGATCTCAAAACTGCCCTGTAGTTCTTTTGCCACCTCAGCGAGTTCATCCCGATAGAGATAATCTTGGTCAGGGGCACGGCATCCGAAAAATAGGATCATCTTGCCAACGGGCTTTCCGACAGATTTGAGACGTGCTCGTTCAAGGATAAACCCGCGGAAGGGAGCGAGACCGGTACCAGCACCGATCATGACGAGAGGTGTTGAGCTCATCGTTGGAAGTTTGAAGTTAGATCGGCGCAGACAGGCAAAGACTTTGTGGTCTTTGAGAGCATCACCGGGACCAGACAAGGCATATGTAGGAGCCTCGGGTCCAACCTCTGGTTGCTTGTCATCGCCGTTCAGAGACTTCCCTAGAGCGTAGAGATAATTAGTTGTGACACCTCGAATGGACCTGCTTGGGTCTCGTTGAAGAGGTGAGTTATCGACGCCACATGTAATCGAAAGCTTGCGTGCAGACACAGTGCTCGATGACGAGATGGAGTAGTATCGAGGCTGCAAGGTTGGTAAAGTCTCAACGACGTAAGATAGGGGAAGTTTGTCCCAAATAGACCCAGGAGCAACAAGAGTCAGGAGGCGACCAAGAGTGATATGGTTCTTGGCGATATATTCAGCATAAGCCTCTTTACTCTTGCCCAGAGTCGTCAGGTTCTGAGCAATCTCTGCCGAAGGTGCAAATCTCGCCAGTTGGCCAACGGTCTCTCGAGATACAGGAGCTGAGATCTCGAGATAATGCCGAAAGAGGGCCAGCGCAGATGTGGGACTGGGAATCTTGATTGTCACGCCTTCTTCTAGGGGTTGAACAAGAAGAGGCTTCTCAGCTCGGTCTTCAAGATCAAGAGCCTTGAGGAGAAGTTGTATCTCGTGGTCAGGGTTGATGGGATAGACGGCAAGATGGTCACCAGTTCGGTATCGAAGCTCAGGATGATCTGAAATATCGAGCTCCATATGGAGGCAATTTCGCCCGGGAGACGTATAAAGCTCGTGGGATGACTGGACCGTCAACGATCGAATAGGCGAGTACTGCTTGACAATCTTTGCAGGTCCGCTTCGGTTCTGAATAGGCTCGCCGAGGTTGAGATCCATGATATCAAGAGATTCATCCTCTACGAGCTGAATACTTGGCTCATATGGGATGTCTCGCTCTTCATAGCCCAGCTTGGTCTGGAAGTGAGTATACAGATCGTCCTTCCAGGAGAGGAAATCCTCTTCTGTGCCACCCTGAGCATCATTGGCCTTGGCCACCGGCATCAGCCTCTGTGCACCAGCTTTGTCAAGGAACTCAGCAACAACATCGATAACACGATTGTAGTACCTATAGCTGGTATTTCCCAGGCCGAAGGCCATGTATCGCAGGTTTGGTAGCTGAACATCAGGATTCTTGTGAAGCCACTCCCAGAGTGCAGCTGTGTTATCACTAGGATCGCCTTCTCCGTATGTCGAGATTATGAAAATGGCGAGTTTGCTTTGGGGAAGGTTGGCGATGGACTCAGGGTCGTAGTCGCATAGATCAGCGCAGAGGGTCTGAAGACCGAAACGCAGATGGCATTCTTTGGAGAGTCTAGTAGCAAACATTTCTGCTGTACCAGATTGAGAGCCCCAAAAGATCACAACGTCTTTGCCCTGATCATCTGTAAGTCTAATATTCCCTTTTCATGATATGAGAAAACTTACAGCTTCTTCCATCTTCTTTGCAATGTCACGAGTTGCTTTGGGCCCGGAAGAAGCACCATCTTTTGACCCCATCCGTTCGAACCAGATATGATGATAAGGATCTGGCTTATCCCAGACAATGCCTCGAAGAAGAAACGCTGCTGAGGCTATACCAACTGTGCCCAGAGCAGCAATATCGGCTATTGTCTGAGGTGGTCCCAGCTGGGAGAGCCGGTTCAAGGCTTCTGTTGTAAAGACGTTGGACATGATTGCTAAAGACTATACGAGAAAAGAGATGACAGTTTGCTTGAGTCTCTGGAGCGAGGAGAAGAAGGATTGACATTCATATTCATCATCTTTTGCCTTTGCTTCATCCGCGGAATTTCTTTCTATCCTAGGAAATTGACATACTCTATCTCTCATCCCACGTAGATCAAAGAGTCTCCAACGACTTCAGATCCCCAGCCAACGCACCACCATCTCCACACCTGAAACTCCAGACCCAACTAGACGCGCAGAAAACACCGAGAATCCGGGGCTAGCGTAGAGGCTATCCAATGACCCGGGATGGGCAAAATTTCCTATTTGGACAGAGGAACCACTTCACAGTGAACATGGGGAAGACAAGACGATGGATTCTAGATTCAAGGCGTTACCAGGCGCCAGGCTAGCCGGGTTCAGTATGTTTCCCCATTCGTCTTCCCTGCACTCATGCTCTTCGTTGAGATGGTGGGGAGGACTCAAGAGGGGGTGGCTAAATGAGGCCAGAAGAGTTCTCATGCTTCTAGACCAAGTTGTCTTCCTCAGAGTATTTCTTTCTTGTATTAATTGTGGCAAGTCAACGTTTGACGCTGCAAGAATGCATAGATAGATAGGTGGAATATCTTGTCTCTTCTGGACTCATCAATCTCTATCAAAGGCTCGACTTCACAATCTCTCCTCACGTACTTCGTCCTCTATCGCATCTACACATATCTTCGCGATCCAAAACGTCTCAGACGGTTTCCCGACTTCCATCCTCTGGTGGGAATAATCAACATCCCTTTTGTCTGTCAAGAAGCCAAGGGTTTCCGCTCTCGTACTCTGTATGAGATGCACAAGACCCATCCAGTGATTCGCACCGGCCCAAACTCTCTTTCCTATAGTTCCATGCAAGCCATCAAGGATATTTATGGTCATGGCACAAAATGCACCAAGGGAGAGCTACGAGACTATCACTTAGCCGATGTCATCGACAGGGCCGACCATGCTTGAAAGTGCCGTGCTCTTTCTGCTGCATATGCCTTGAAGAATCTTGAAAACTGGAAATTTAAAGTAGCCGATAAGGCAGAGCAGTTTATCCACGCTGCTAATGCTGCTTGCACTTTGATACTCAAAGCAGGCACACAACCCGATCCTAGAGACCTCAACTTCGATTACCGATATTAGCAGAGACAGGCACTGTTTAGCCCAGATTGACTCCATGCCAACATAAAGGGATAGGTTTCTTAGAGGAGATTGGTCTAAACTTTATAAGATATGTCCTAATTTATAAATCTTAGGCACCTTTAGGATAATATTTCCTAAGATTATCCTAAATCCGGGTTTCTTAGAGGAGATTATCCTAAGATTGTCTAAACTAGGTATGTAAAACATATCCTAAAACTCATAAAATTTAGGCTCCTTTAGGATAGTAATCAGTCATGAATATCCATTATACCAACTGCAAGTTACTATTTAACATCCCTGAGATAGGCATTCCAGAATTCATATTTTCGGGAGAATCGGTCCAACCCCAAGCTTCCTTTAAATACTCTTGTCTGCAATGGCTATTAGAATAATTAGTAACTGAGAAAATCTGGTTTCGGCTTACACTGATCGATTCGGCCACCCAAATTGTACATCTGCTTTCTGTAGCATGCCATATAAGGCTTCCTGTTCGAACAAGTTATGAAATCGGTCACCCGCCATCGTGATAGCTAAGCAAGCATATCTAGTTATAGGAGCAAAATTAGCAAGATGATATGAAGAGAAATGTTGGTCGGTCATACGCATAGCCCGTTGGATTGCGTTGGTTGGACTATTTTCCCGCATTAGTAGGAATCTATCCTCAACATCAATAATAAATTCTCACCTCAGCAACACCGCAGACCATCTTGACGGTTTTCCTGATCTCCTCATTTGTTGACTTGGCCGCTTTCGCCTGCCCGGGACCCAATTTTGGTGTCCTAGGGTTGTGAGCTGCCAGCAAGACCTGAATAAGCAGGTAATGGAGCACTCCTGTGACGACAGCATCGTTGAGATACAGCGCTTGGGGGAAGATGCCAGGTGCATCAGTGTTGATGTACATCGGGTGAAAGTGCCATGGCCTATCCGCCCACCATCGTTCTTGGGCCTCTTGCAACCTTTCCCATGCTGAGAAGCTCTGATCTTCAGACCCATAACAATAACGTAGACAAGCAGCACATTGCAAGATAGTTAAATTTGCAAAGGTACAACAGGTGTCATCGTCTTGAACAAGCCTAGAGATGTCTTCCAGGGCGAAATTTGGGTGGACGGGCCGGGCCTGCATAAAAGCCATGTGTATTTCTTGGTAAAGTTGTTAGCATAAATGACACCCAAAGCCTGCCTCCTTACCTTGTCGTAATGCAACCCAGAATGCCGCACGTCGTAGTCCAGTAAAGTCTAAAACCTTTTCTTGAGCTGCAACAAAGACTCGAGTACCAACAAGATGTGATTCGCTAGCCGTGTCTGCAGATGTGAGGGGCACGTCGAGTTCCTCCATGTAGCGAAGAATGACAATGGCAGTGAGGAGGTTTTCGTCCATGACAGCTGCAGAACTGCTCAGGGCAGGAATAAGGGCATCGAGACAGTTCTGGTGATAACGGTCGCCGACTAAGCCATCAAACCCATCGATTCTGCTTAATCGTTTGGCAGAAGCCGCAAGCACAGCGTTCATAAGTGGAGGGCATATGACTGCTCGACGCGGGACAATCGTAGCGAAATGTCTCTCGCTGTCACACAAATCGAAGAGCGGTGCCAAGACGTGGATGAAGTTGTAAAACAACATTGCCTCTTGTGGATCTTCTAGTGGCCATCTCGGTGTATCCAGGTAAATACCTGAGATGGCTTCGGCAACATTGTCCACTGGAAGTGGAATGTCTGTTCCACGAGAGCTCGCGAGCGCTGCAGCAACTTGAGGGCTCCCCACATCCAAAACAATATCGCTACCAAGGATAGGAGGAGATTCGATAGTGTGAGGCCCCGAAAACGATGAGAAAGGTCCCACGGTATCAGACTTCTGGCTGGGTGAGCGGGAGGGGTTCTTCCAATTTCCACTTGAAGATGGACTCAGTGCTCGTTTCTTTGAAGGACGGTCTTGATAGGAATAAGACGCTGAATCATTTGATCGAATTGTCTGTAAGGAAGCAAGGGGTGGTGAAGACTGATTGCTGGCACGGTCGATGATATCGCGTCCAATGTCGAAGTTTTCCAATGTGTCTAGGTTGTTCGAATCATGGATGTTGATGATATCTGGGGTCTCATCAACAAAACTTAGAGCTCTGGTTGTCTTGACCCATGGCTGGTCTTGAGAGAAACTGTAGTCTCTATTCTTGGCTTCAACAGCCTTACCAGATCGTATACTTTGTGTGTTGAGCGACAGAAGTCAAGGACAGAAATGGCAGCGTACCTCGGATTCAGACCATGTCGAAATCTCACACTGAAACCTCGAACACACTCAATATCACTCTTTCGGCAATTGGCACAAGAAGGCTTATCGTTGTCACCTGTTTCTCCGATTAGTTTCCGATATACAAGCCACCGCCGTTGGTAAAGTTAATGAATGCAACTTACACTTGAGATGTCTATCAGAAGTTGATAGTCAGAAAGGGGTAACATTTTCTATGTCAAGTAAAAGAGACTAACCGTTGCTTACAGATCTTGACACGGCAACCCTATCAGTTTACAGTACAGCCTCCATAGCGGGGCGACTTACGATGCATGGGTTGAGAGGCCTTGTTGATAGAGACTCTGACATGATTCATAGAGCGCATCAATAATGAGATGACGGCCCGTTCCACAAACTTTTGATGATGATGGGAAGATTGAAGGATGGAGCATGAAGGAATATAGCCTAGAGTGGATTAAAAGGGCAGTTGCCTTTCTTGGTCAAAAAGGGCAAGCCCAGCTGAATCCACATAAGTTTAGCCTCAAACTTCAACATCAGACTCCCTAAGTTAATGCCTGTTGGATGTGGTGGTAAAGTCGGACTGACCCCCGGGGGTCGTGCGAAAAGGTGGGTCAAGAACTACAGACCCGGACCGTGCTCCATCTTTATTAGCCAATTAAATCTAATAGACACGGTCCGGATCTGCTGTTTGTTGACCCACCTTTTCGGCGCTAGCAAGGGCACGATCCGGGTCAAGTCCGGGGGGTCAGTCCAACTTTACAGTACCATAACTGAGAACACTTCCCCATGGGGTTGATGTCGGTAATCTGGGGACTGACGTACATCGAGTAGACGAGCCTAGCATGGTCTAGATTCCCAGCTCACCCAATCAATCGAGTCCTTGGCCTTGGGTATTCTGGTCTAAATGCCGCTCGTTTGTATAATCTGGGGAGTAAGGCGTCAGGGCGTTGACCATGCTAGTCATTCTTTCTGAAAGGGAAATATTCATCCCCTCATTACCATCAGTTACAGATAATTCAGGTTTTGGAGTAGCAAGGAGTATCAAGCCCGAATCCTGGCTTGGTGGTGTGCTTCACCTGGGATGTTTAATATATAAGACCTTCGAATATCACCTGAATTGCTTCTTTTTCCAGATCAGCACCGAACTCCTTCTTCTCATTCTTCAAAACTCTCTGGAAATCTTCAAAGATATTCAATAACTCCAATATCAGCTTCACACTACCACAACCCCAACCGGCATCATGTCCAAGGCTGATACCAAGGAACGTCTCGAGCATCTCGAGGATACCGGCTCCCCAAATTCCATTCATGAAGTCAACATCAACATCAATGATCTCGACTCTATCGAGCAGACTGAAACCGGCAAGTTCTCATGGCTAATCAGCATCACTGCCGCCATCGGTGGCATGCTGTTTGGTTATGATACCGGAATCATATCCGCTGTTCTTGTATGTTCTGCCCCCCCTTACTCCATTCGATTTGCTGCCCCAGATACTGACGTTGGATAAAGGTCTACATCCACCAAGATCTTGGCAAGACTCTTACGTCTCAGGAGAAAGAACTCATCACCTCTATCACCTCCGGTGGTGCTTTTCTGGGTGCCATATTTGCAGGATGTTCTGCTGATCGGTACGGACGAAAAGTTGCTATCTATGTGGGCTGTGTCCTCTTCACTGTCGGTGCCATCATCCAGGCCGCTTCTTTCTCAGTCGCTCAGATGACTGTTGGCCGTCTGGTTGTTGGATTCAGCGTTGGTAGTGCTGCAATGATTATACCTCTCTACATTGCCGAGTGTGCACCGAGCAAGTATCGAGGACGTATGATCGGTCTTGACAATATGTCGATTACTGGCGGTCAGCTTCTCTCGTATGGAATCGGTGCAGCTTTTTCACAAATCTCATCTGGCTGGCGATACATGGTAGGCGGTGGTGCTATCCCTGCCATCATCCTTGCCGCTCTTCTCCCTTTCTGCCCTGAGTCTCCTCGTCAACTCATCTACCACGGAAAGCCTGAAGAGGCGGCCGCAGTCATCCGACGAATCTTTCCCAATGGTACCGAACAACAGGTCCAGGACAAGATCCGTCATCTCACATACCACGTCAATGAGGCCAAGTCCCTGAACGCGGGCAAGTCTCAATGGTGGGTGTTCAAGCAGCTCTATGTCAACCCCGCAAACTTCCGAGCCCTCGTATCTGCCTGTGGACTCATGGCTATCTCTCAGCTCAGTGGCTTCAATTCTCTCATGTACTACTCTCCTTTGTTGTTCTCTCTTGTTGGATTCTCCAATCCGGTCGCTGTCGGTACCATAATTGCTGCCACAAACTTCATCTTCACCTGGGTCAACCTCATGCTTGTTGACCGTGCCGGCCGCCGAAGAATTTTGATCTGCACAGTTCCTTTCATGGGTCTCGCTCTCGTTGTTGCTGCTGTGTGCTTCAAGTACATTCCTATCAACCATGATTTATCCTTGGCATCGGATGCTAAGATCGGCTGGCCTGCTATTGTGGTCCTGGTCAGCATGGTTATCTTTGTCGGATTCTACTCTTCTGGTATCGGCAATACTGCTTGGCTTTCAAGCGAATTCTTCCCAATGGAAGTCCGAGCTATGGGAACTATGATGCTTACCATGACCTGCTGGGGATCCAACATCATTGTGTCCTCGACATTCCTTACCCAGATGGAGAATACTACCCCCTCTGGTGCTTTTGGTTTCTATGCTGCCATCTGCATTCTAGGCTGGGTCTGTATCTACTTCTGTTACCCTGAAGTTAAGGGCATGACTCTTGAGGATATTCGAGAGATCTTCCAACACGGTTTTGGTGTCCAGCGAGCTCGAGAAATCCAGAAGGAGATGAAGCTTCTCAGGAAATCTACTGCCTCTGATGAGGTCGCCAAGGCTTAGCAAGCGGCTGGAAGTATGTGCTGGTATCCTTTTGGGACATGAGGGTTACAGTTGCACAGAAGTCGTTCGGATCGGTCTGCTTGGTTCATATACGATTCGGCGTTGGTAGATAGGATAACTAAACAAGACAGTCGTATAAATGTCATTGCCAAATGTTTTCAAATCTCTCCATTTTATAAATTGGCCAACAAGTGGTCTATACTCTGAAAGAACTGACCGGGCGAGCTTATTGGTATCTAGGGAACCTCGTAAGGTGTTGTGCAGATAAACTTTAAGCTATATTTTGAGAATTTATGATGAGATCTCAAAAGTTAGCCTAAGGGTATACTAAAGTTATCCTAAGATGCTCAAAAACACACGGAACCCAAGGACGGTGCTCGCGATGGGCACACTGCATGTAAAGGCATACGAGCAGGACTAAATTTTGGGGAAATACCTTTATTTAGGCTACCTCGTAGGTAGTCTCGCTTAAAAGCTAGACAGAGGTACTAAGGATGATATACGAAGTCAGGTATACTGCAACTCTGGTTGTTATGTGGAACATTAAAGACTTGTAAGAGGCACGCTGGGAAAGCGTGGGAGGAGACTGAGAAAATGATTTGCAGAGAAGTATAAGCATGTTTATTTGTACCATATCATTTATAATGACTTGAATGGAAAATTCTACAGAAATGAATCATCGTGAGATTTCTGATGTGGTGTTGTGTTACAGCCGAATAGTTTCAGCGAGTAAACAAAACGAAAGATTTTACCAACCAATCCAAACCTACAGAATAGGAAATTCCCCAGTCGGAAGCCACGGCGAGAGTTTCCTTCGGCCAATCTTTCCAATCACGTCTTCTTTTGAGTCAGTGAGGGGTTCGGAGAGTTAAGCCTCACCCGCAAATGCGGAGGCGACAGGGTCAAGGATCCGACATATAGATCTATTTACAGTAGGAGGCCCCGATAGAAGCTTCGTAGCTAATTACTCCATTTGGTATAATCTGACTTGTATTCTCCACTAGCAACTCATCTCAACGTCCATCATGTGTCTGAGATGAGGAAAGCTGATGATCTAGCCAATGGCCATGATACTATTCTCACTGAAAAGCGGAAGAATGTAGATCTTGTGACTTCTATTCCAAGCCACTGGCAGACACCATGTACTCATGTAACGAGGGTTTGTCCAATCGAGTTGAATGTGGTGTTAGGGTTGAGAGAGATTCGAGAAAACAACGAGCAACGCCGCGAGAGCTCCGAGTATCGGTGTAAATATTCTCGACCTAGATTACCGAGAGAGCCCAAGGTATAAGGGAGGAGAGCTCGCTCGTGCTCATCATCTCTCAGCTCTCAACTCTTCAGTCTCATTGTTGCTAGGAGAACCCGACAGACACACAGCTTTACCTTAACATTTCCTCTACAACGTCTTTTGTCTCCCAACATAATGGCCTCTCCTAAGCTCCAAGTCGCCGTTGCTGGCCTCGGCCGCATGGGTGCTCGCCACGCTCTCAATTTTCACAACAGAACACCCCGCGCTGAGCTTGTCGCCGCCTTTACCCCTGTCCAGAAGGAGGCAGACTGGGCCAAGGTTCACCTCGAGGGTGTTACAATCTACGATGACTACCAGGAGATGCTGAAGCATCCCGGTCTCCAGGCTGTGGTGGTTGCTACTGTTACTACCGCTCATGCTGAAGAGGCTATTCAAGCCATTGAGGCTGATAAGCATGTTCTTTGCGAGAAGCCTCTAAGTACCAGCGTTGAGATCGTTAGTGTCTCCTCCTCACAAATTAAGCTTATTAAGAACTCTAACTAACCCTTGTTCTTCAAACAGTCCCAATCCGTTGTCGACGCCGCTGCCAAGAAGCCTCACCTCAAGGTCATGTGTGGTTTCTCCCGTCGATTCGACGCCTCATACCGCGATGCCTTTGATCGCATGGACAGTGGTGCCATTGGTCGTCCCTCCGTTTTCCGATCTCAAACCTGCGATAAGCTTGACCCATCCGGGTTCTTCGTTGCCTATGCCGAGTTCAGCGGTGGTATCTTTGTCGACTGTAACATCCACGATATCGACCTTGCCTTATGGTACTTTGGCCAGGACTCTATCGTCAAGTCTGTTGTTGCTACTGGCATCACTGCTGTTCAGCCTGAGCTACGAAAGCACAAGGATGTAGACAATGGCGTTGGCATCGTAGAGTTCTGGGGCGGCAAAGTCGCATACTTCTACTCTTCTCGCATGATGGCTGCAGGTCAACATGACATGACAGAGGTCGTTGGTACTGAAGGCAAACTCGCCATCAATGCCAACCCTGTCGGCAATCTTGTCGAGATGTACGAGGCAACCGGAGTGCGACGACAGATTCCTGGCGACTACTATGGTCGTTTCGAGCATGCCTTCGTCACAGAAGCCAACGAATTCACATCTTCAGTGCTTGACAACCACAAGTTGCCATTCAAGCTTACTGGTGCT